CTTGTGTATGTAACTAGTGGGGCGGGGGGCTGACAGAAATGAAGTGAAAGGTTGGAATGTGACCACGGGTTTTAATTCTCTGGAGGGCATTTCTAGGGACAGCCTCTGGCTTGTGGTCGTGTGTGATCTGATCTGTGTGGCTTTGGGGCTGCTGCCTACTGGGGAAGCCACGAACTACAGCTTTTGGCAGAGGCTGGGCTGGGAGTGTGGAAATGGGCTGGAGTGGACAGGACTTGGAGAAGATGAGCGCTCCTTCTCATCCGCAGTGTCTGGGATACTGAGGGGAAAGGAGGGATCTGATCCACGGATCCAGAGTTCAGGATCCCATCCGGGATCCTGGCCTCCCTGCTTAGTGGAGGAGAGGAACTGGCTCCACATTTCCTGGCTTCATTCTCCAAAACTGCCTATCTCAGCAAATCGAGTAGCCATCTTTCTTTGACCTTTTTCCTTTTGCATTTAGAACTTCAGCTTTAAAAAGTTATTTATTTGAGGGCCCGGCACAGTGGCGCAGTGGTTAAGGTCCTCGCCTTGCACGCCCAGCATCCCATATGGGCGCCGGTTCTAATCCCGGCAGCCCCGCTTCCCTTCCAGCTCCCTGCCTGTGGCACGGGAAAGCAGTCCAGGATGGCCCAAAGCTTTGGAACCCTGCACCCGCGTGGGAGACCCGGAAGAGGCTCCTGGCTTCAGATTGGCATAGTATCGGCCGTTGCGCTCACTTGGGGAGTGAATCATCGGACGGAAGATCTTCCTCTCTGTCTCTCCTCTCTGTATATCCGCCTTTCCAATTAAAAAAAAAAAGTTATTTATTTGAAAGACAGAGAGAGGAAGAGACAGAGAGAGAGTTATCTTCCCCTCCCACTATTCACTTCCCAAATTGCTGCAAAGGCTGGAGCTGGGCTGGGCGATATGCAGGAGCCTGGAAAGCCACCTGGGTTTCCCATGTGAGTGGCAGGAACCTAAGCACTTGGGCCTCTTGTTTGCTTTCTCAGACACGTTGGCACAGAACTGGATGGGAATTGAAGCAGTGGGACTTGAACCAGCATTCTGGATATGGGATGCAGGCTTTGCGGGCAGTGGCTTAACACACTGTGTCACAACGCCAACCCCAGGGTCCAAGTCTGGTCTCATCTGCAGCTGTGATAACAGCTGCATGGACACTCTGACTCACTGGCAGGGAACTCCTCAAATGAGAGCCAGCTCTGCTTTCCTGCCCTGGGAGCCTGTTGGGTCTTCTGGATCCCTTGTGCTTTCTGTCTGTGCCCTGCCTGGGAAGCACAGTTCTCTGCTTTCTCTGTGTCTGTGGCCAACATCATTTCCCCTGCAGCCTTGAGCCCAAGCCAGGTCCTTGAACATGTCCAGTGCCCGATAAACATGTATAGTCATTGTCTAAAAACACTGAAAGAAACTAGCTTTAACCTTGAGGCCAATCCCTTAAACTCCCTGCCCTGACCTCCTTGCCACAGACATACCTCAGTGGAACTCTCATTTTTCTCACTGTCTGTGGTGAGGCAACTACAGGCCACTTTCTGAGTTCCTCTATTCAGTGCTTTGGACCAATCACCCTGGCAGTTAGCGCTTCTTTCTTTGTTAGCTCCATGTTGGAACAGTTTGGGGCACAAGAATTCTCCAGCTGCTGCTAGTGGGGGCAGCCTAGATGGAAAGTGCTTTGTTGGGAGCCATGAAAGCTCAGAGAGCCCCTGACAGGCCGAGAGAATAGGGCTGATCACGCCTCCAGGGTAGTTCTCGAACCTGTGGAATATCTCCCTTCTCTGTCCTGAGCATTCTGCATCCATCAGAGGTCCCTAAGACTTATGGAAGGGACTCAACACCTGCTGTCCCCGCTACTGTCTTGTTGCCCTGCTCCTGGAGCTGAGCCTTCAGATCGAGGCTTTCCTGTCCTCAGACCCTTGCCCCCAGCTCTTGGTCAGGGGAACCCCAAGTAAGGTAGTGTTCCTGGTGTCCTCAAGCACATGGAACACTGATTTTGGCTGTTGATTGGTCCAAGACCTTAGTGTTCCCTTTTGCTTCAGCTGTATGCACCAGCTAACTCTCCCTCAAATGGCTTCACATCCAAGCTTTGCCTGAGCACTCCACAAGAGAGGACATCTCAGCCCGTCTCCTCCATAGCATCCTTCCTTTCTGTGGTCTGCATGCCGGAGAAGCCCTGTCCTCCCCAGCACCTAGCACCATGCCTTTGACTGAAAAGTTTGTCCTTGGGTCTGGCGTGATAGCCTAGTGGCCAAAGTCCTCACCTTACATGTGCTGGGATCCCATATGAGCATCGGTTCGTATCCCAGTTACTCTACTTCCCATCCAGCTCCCTGCTTGTAACCTGGGAAAGCAGCTGGGGACGACCCAAACCCTTGGGACCCTGCACCCACACATGGGAGAACCGGAAGAGTCTCCTGCTTCCTGGATTGGCTCAGCTCTGGTCGTTGCAGCCATATAGGGAGTGAACCAATGGTCAGATGTAAGATCTTTCTGTCTGTTCCCTGTAAATCTGACTTCTCAATAAAGATAAATAAATCTAAAAAAAGAAAAGTCTGCCCTTAACAGCCTAGGGGGAACTCTGAGGGTAGAGTGACTACATCAAGTGATGGGAGGTGTAGGAGGGAGCTGGGGACAGAGGGGGAACTGCTAACGGAGGCTGCTAACGGGCGGGCCTTGTGTTGCAGGCCAGAGGGGCCAGAAAACAGTGAAAGAGAGCTGGAGGAGTGGGCAGGCATGAGGGCAGAAGTAGACGCTTAGCTCAGGCATCAGTAGAGTTTGCCTCCTCCATGGCCAGGGAAACTGGGCTGCACTCCCCCAGTTCAGCCTGTTCCCTGGAGAGGCAGGCTCCTACAGGCCTGGGTGTGTAAGCCTTAGGAGGGCCAGGATGAGGGAGGGGCCCCGTGGGAAAGGCCAGGAATGAGCCCCATCTTGTCCCTCCCTCTGCTGGCCTCACCCTCTTGCAAACGTGACAGGCACAGAGCACAAGTAGGCACTTCACTCACAGCAGCTTTGCTTCGTGGCAGCCTCAGGCCCTTTGCTGGACCCCTGTCCTTGTTTGTGACGGCTGGGTAAGTGGATTTGCCCATGCTCCCTGACTCCCCACCACACACACTGGCCCTGAGGTTTAAAGGACAGGGCTGGGCAAGAAGGAAAGCCCAGGCTAGCAGGAAGGGGAGATGGAGCTAGTGACAATGTGGGTGAGGGCTAGGAATTCTGGGAAGGAGCCTGGTGCAGTAGGACTCGTCTAACCCAGAGCTGGGGATCTGGGCTCCAAGGAGCAGGGTGGGAGCCAGAGTCTTCAGGGGAGACAGGGCTTCCAGCCAGAAGAGAGGGAGGAGGCACAGAACAGAGGGGAGGCGCAGTCCCTACCTAACTCAGCAGGTGGGGAGCTGCCTCACAGGCCAGCGGACTTCCTTCCCGGCTCCCAGCCCTGAATGCCTGCTGTGCCCCCTTGCAGCCCCCTGCTGGCACAGAAGGATGACGCCCTGCTACAGTCCTCCCGGGAACGAGACGCTGCTGAGCTGGAAGGCCTCGCGGGCCACAGGCATGACCTTCTTGCTGCTGGCCGCGCTGTTCGGGCTGCCGGGCAATGGCTTCGTGGTGTGGAGCTTGGCAGGCTGGCGTCCCGCGCAGGGGCGGCCGCTGGCGGCCACGCTCGTACTGCACCTGGCGTTGGCCGACGGCGTGGTGCTGCTGCTCACGCCGCTCTTCGTGGCTTTCCTGGCCGGGCAGGCGTGGCCGCTGGGCCAGGCGGGCTGCAAAGCGGTGTACTATGTGTGCGCTCTCAGCATGTACGCCAGCGTGCTGCTCACAGCGCTGCTCAGCCTGCAGCGCTGCCTGGCCGTTACGCGCCCTTTCTTGGTGCCCCGGCTGCGCAGCCCGGCCCTGGCCCGTCGCCTGCTGCTGGCCGTCTGGCTGGCAGCCCTGCTGCTCGCCCTGCCCGCCGCCCTCTACCGACACCTCTGGGGGGACCGCGTGTGCCAGCTATGCCACCCGTCGCGGAAGCACGCCGCCGCGCACCTGGGCCTGGAGACGCTCACGGCCTTTGTGCTGCCTTTCGGGTTGGTGCTCAGCTGCTACGGCGTGACACTGACGCGGCTGCGGGCTGTCCGCTGGCGCTCCGGCCGGCGTGGCACCCGCGTGGGCCGCCTCGTGAGCGTCATCGTGCTGGCTTTCGGCTTGCTCTGGGCCCCCTACCACGCGGTCAACTTGGTGCAGGTGGCAGCCGCGCTGGCTCCACCCGAGGGGACCTTGGCCAGGCTGGGCGGCGCGGGCCAGGCGGCGCGGGCTGGCACCACGGCCTTGGCCTTCTTCAGCTCCAGCGTCAACCCGCTACTTTACGTTTTTACCGCCAGGGACCTACTGCCCCGCGCCGGTCCGCGTTTCCTCATGAAGTTCTTCGAAGGCTCTGGGGAGGCCCGAGGAGGGGCCAGCCGTTCCAGGGAGGGGACCATGGAGCTCCGAACAACCCCTCGGCTACAAGTGGTGGGCCAGGGCCAGGGCAACGGGGATCCTGGGGGCGGCCAGCAGAGGGCCAGTCAGGAATGGGACCCTTGACCCATGCAACCACCCCTGATCTTCCCCACCCCCTGCCGGTCTGCGAGTATCTAGGACCTTCCTCTGAGGGAGGTTTGGCTTGTGTGTCTGGGACAGGCCCGTTGCCTGCAGGGTGGTGAGTATCCACGTGCCCAAGCCGCTGGCTCCTCTGCCAGTAGCCATGATTGCGAAACACTTCAGGAAGCCATAAGGTGATGACCGAAGTGTGTTCCTTGCGGTGGCTCATCATTCCTGAGTTACATACTCACCCCACCTGATTCCCTGGTGAGCCACTCACTCAGGCCTCCGAGTCTGGCCCTGCCTCTGGACGGAAAGGGAGAAAGAAGACACAAAAGCACTGGGGCTTGGGTAGGACGTGGCGGGGGGTGGGGGGGTGGCAAGGGTGGGGCTCTTGGGGAAGCAGCGGTTTGCAAGACACTGGCTCCAGACCTAGAAAGCGAATTTGCAATTAGCTGGTTTTCCTGTCCATCTTGTTATATGATGTGCTTGTGAGAGGAACCTGTAAAGAGTGGGCAGATGTAGGGACCCTGGGCCTGGGAGACTGTACTTCTTCAATGTGTCTGACCTTGTCCCCAGAGGTCAAAAGAGCTTTGCAGATGACCTCAGGGGTGGACACTAATTGGTGATGAGAGGGTGTGGGGAAGAGGACAGGCAGTGCCACCCCTTCTTTCTCTCTGCCAAGGCTGCTGGCTGCCCCTGACCGCTACCCCAACACCTTGTGGCCCCCCCTCCTCCCTTTTCCACTTCTGAATCTAAAACCTGTCCTTGATCCTGGCACTTGGGATTTGGAGCTGTGTCTCAGGAGGACATCCACATGGTCAGTGCGATCATCAACCTGTTTCAGTTGGCCCCTAATATTTTCAATTCTAGTGCGGAAAATCCCTTGTGCCAACACCATCAGTGTCCCCAGCACACTGAGGTGGTCGCCCATGTGGGTACCCAGGCTGGCACCACCCCAGCTTGTCCTGCAGAGACTGTTCACACATGTGCCTGCTCTGTTCCTCCCTCCCCCGCCCCAGGGCACAGGTCAAGAGAGCAAAGGAAATCCGGTCCCCAGGGTCCCTCTGTCACCAATGTTGAGAACAGAGTGGAGCTCTGAACTGGGGCAGCCGGAAGTGTGCCTGAAGTACCCAGCCATGCAGGGAAGGGGAAGAAGGGCTGTGGAAGGAGCTGGGGTCAGGGAGCAGCCTGGAGAAGAGGTAGACAGTGCTGCTCTGGGTGGCTCTGGAGCTCTGAGCCTGGCACTTCTATTGCAAGCACAGACTTATCACTGCCTGTGCTTCTGCAGGGTGGCATGTTGGGGAAGGATTCCCAATTTTCTGTTAGATTGTCTGCATCTCAAGCACCTGTGCAGTCGGAAAGCCCTGGCTCGACTCTGCCTTCAGCTCTGGCTGCAACTTCAGTCCATTTTCTTGTCATCCTCTCTTCTGTTTGATGGTACATGCCCCTCTGGCTTCTCTTATCAGAGTGGAGCGATTTAGGACAGTGACAATGGTCAAGGAGTGAAGGATGATGAGATCGAAGGGGGCATGAGAAACCTCCTACAGGAGACTTCTAGAAAGATGTCTCTTCATGCAGGGAAGGGTGATGAAGGGGACCTTCAGGGGCTGCTCCCCATTCCCCCTGTGCCTTCACCCCTACTCTTGGTCCTCCTGCTCCACACAGACTAGCCTAGCTTCCACTTTTCTCCTTGGGCATTCTTGGCCTGAAGAGTGGAGATGTTTGTAAATTGACTATCAGTATTCTGGCTTCTCAAGCCAAACTCATTTCCCTCCCTTACTTGCATGTGGGACTCTGAATGCTGCAGTCTGCACCTGCATCTGGAGGCCACACCCTGGCTGCTCCCCTCTCTGCCTCCACACTGCCCCTTCCTGGCTTCTGCTCATGTGGCCCCACCTTCACGGGTCCTCTTCCCATGTACTGCTCCCCAGGAGCACAGGGAGGATGACTTGAGAAGGGAGGGGGTAGGCGGTCAGGAAGATGTATCTTCCTCCTCTACTGCTGCCTCCTCCCTTGTCCTGTGGTACTTCCTCTCTGGCTGACTTAACTTACAGCACCCAGAGCCAGGGCCACAGATCCAGGGATAGGTTACCCCTTCTGGCCAGCACCTGGTGGAGCTTGTAAGTATTGGGGTGGTGGAGAGGGATGGGGAGGAGCCGGTGGGGGGAGGGTAACGGGAGCAGTCATGAGTGAGGGTACAAAGGAGCCTCCCAAAACATGTTGGCTGAGTGTCAAAGCCATGGGGCAAGATTTGCCCTTGTCCTCTGTCCACTGCTGTTCCAGGGCCTCCTGGTGACTTGGGGAAAGTGGTGAGATCGAGGGGCCTTGCAGCTGGCAGGGGACAGAGGAGCAGCCCTGGCCAACCAGGTCTCCCAAGGGAAGGTGGCTGCAGCGCGCCACTGCTGCTGCCGTTACACATATTTTGTAATTGAGCCTGTAGGCAGGAAGGGGCCCCATGGTTCAGTTAGGAAATTAATGTTTTGTAGCCAGCCAGGTTTCCTTCAGGCAGGTCAGCAAAAGGAGGGAGGGGGGAGACTTCTGTGGAGACAGATCAAAGCCCTCAGGCTCCAGGGTCCCCTGCCCTCATATTATGTACCTTGGTCCACCCTCACTCTCCAGGTCCCGGCCCTCTCTGCCCACCACAGCCATGAACACTTCGTCTACTGTCACCCCGCAGGCAGGGGCTGCCGTCTTTATAGCTCAGTTGTCCATCATCCTGTTGTCGGTGGCTCTGGTGGTGGGGGTGCCCGGCAACAGCTTTGTTGTGTGGAGCATCCTGAAGAGGATGCACAAGCGCTCAGTCACTGCCCTGCTGGTGCTGAACCTGGCCCTGGCCGACCTGGCCGTGCTGCTCACAGCGCCCTTCTTCCTACACTTCCTGGCCCAAGGCACCTGGCGGTTCAAACAGGCTGGCTGCAGCCTGCTCTACTACATCTGCGGGGTCAGCATGTACGCCAGTGTCCTGATCATCACGGCCATGAGCTTGGACCGCTCACTGGCAGTGGCCCGCCCCTTTCTGTCCCAGAAGCTGCGCACCAAGTCAATGGCCAGGTACCTGCTGGCCGGCATCTGGGTGCTGTCCTTCCTACTGGCCACGCCGGTCTTTGTGTACCGCAAGGTGAACATGAGATTGGACAACAGGAGCCAGGTCTGCTTCCCAGTCTACCCCAGCGAAAGCCACAGGGTCTTTCATCTGCTCTTCGAGGCCCTCACAGGATTCCTGTTGCCCTTCATGGCCGTGGTGGCCAGCTACTCGGACATTGGGCGCCGGTTGCAGACACGGCACTTCCGTCGCAGCCGTCGTACCGGTCGCCTGGTGGTGCTCATTATCCTGGCATTTGCTGCCTTTTGGCTGCCTTACCACATTGTAAATGTGGCTGAGGCATTCCGGGCGCTGGCAGGCCTGGGCATGGGGACGGGGCCTACGGGCCAACGGCTGTACCTGGCGCGCCATGTGCTCATTGCGCTAGCCTTCCTGAGCAGCAGCGTGAACCCCGTGCTGTATGCATGCAACAGTGTTCGCCTGCTGCGTTCAACTGGCATGGGCTTCGTCGCCAAGATGCTGGAGGCCACGGGCTCTGAGGCGGGCAGCTCCCGTCGTGGGGGCACCCTGGATCACACTGTGAAGAATATCCCCATGTCCCCAGAGCCCGTCCCTGTGGAAAGCTCCACTGTCTCCACTAACCCTCTGGAATGAAGGGAGAAGGTTGAGGGTGGGGAAATGGGTGAAATGTGTGCCCCCTCCAGCCCTAGCTGGCCTAACCGATTTGTGCCCATGTGTGAAAGGGCATGCTTTGGCCTGGCAGCATTTCTCTGAAAATCAAATTCAATCCTTAGGGTGTGGCATTTTCTTGCGTGTGTGGGTGGAGGGGGGCGGGTAGTGCTGAGTTTGCTTGTGGGTGTCCTACCTCTTGAGAGGCTTGTGTCACATCGCTTAGATCCCCATGAGTCACAGTTGTGGAGGGGACACAGACCTAGCAATCTGATTTGCCTCAAGCCAGAGCAGAGGTGTGGGAAAAAAAAATCAAGAAGACTCCCATTCTGGGGGTGCTTGGTGCTCTAGACCCTGCTCAGTACCCCTGAGCCCCCGACCTGCAACCCTCACACCTTTGTGCTGCTTCCTGCCCTGCCTCTGCTTTCTAGAGAACCAGGCCATCAAATCTTATCCCTTAGAACACAGCACACAAGTGGATTAGTGGACATCTGTCAGTCCCTGGAAACACCCTGGCACAGGCGGGGCTGGGGACCTTGCTGTGGACACTGTCATCACCAGGAGATGAAGATTTTGGAGAATGAGAGGGATGATTCACAGCTTCCTGTTCCTTGGAGAACTCTGGCCCATCCCTGTGCTGACCTTTTAGGAAGAGGTGGCAACAGTGACAACAATGTATGATAGAGAGCTTTCTTGTTTAAAAAAAAAAAAAAGGAGTGGGGAGATGAGGGGGGTGGCGAAAAGCAGTCAGAAGACCAAAACTGAAGTTCATGTGCAGCATTTGCAACAAACTTTATGTGTCATCCTTGCACAGGGGCCATGCTAATCTTCTCTGTATCGTTCCAGTTTTAGTATATGTGCTACTGAAGCAAGCACAGCAACAAACTTTGGTATGAAGTTATCTCCCATGGACCTCTAAAGTGGGAGCAGGTGAAAAGGAAACATCTGTGCTTCAAGACTTCTGTCCCATGTCAGGATCTGTACACAAAGGCACAAAGCAAAGGACACCCACACCAGCTACAGGTCCTTACTGGAAAGCATGCTTGGCCATTGTGAAAGCAGCAGGTGTACTCTGTGGGAGCAGGCACCTAGCTTGTCCCCATGCCTCTGGTCTCTTTGCATAGCAAGCCTATGCTAGGTGCTTCTGCAGTGTTCGCCCAATGAATAAAAGTAATTTCCCTGGAGCTTCCTTCTGGGCTGTGTGGGCAGGGAGCAGGAGAGGATGGATTCTTGAGTTTGTAGCCAAATCCCTTTATTCTTCCAGGGTGCACGAGACAGGAAGTGGCTTGGCAGGAAGGCTAAGGCCCTCCCTGGAGCCTGTGAAAAGACTGCTCTCTTCCAACACACTCATTGGGCCTGGGGGGAAAAAGCCGCCCTGCTGACTGGCTCAGGGAAGGTGCTTTCCAGCTGGATCAGCAGCTTCTGACACCAACTGGCTTCACACCTCTCAGTGTCCTTTTATTGAGGATCTAGGAGGCGGTGCCTCAGCCTAGGGTGGCCGAGGGAGGTCCAGTTCGTGCCAAGTCTGTGTTCAGGAAGTAGGTGCATAGCTGCCCTTTGCCTTTGACCTTGATGATGCCCCGAATGTAGCAGGTGTAGCCCAGTGACTGCAGGGCCTGGGCTGTCTCCTCGGTCACCTGTGATTGGAAGACGTTGAGTGAGCCCTGGGAGGAGCCCTGCCCTTATCCCCATTCCAGGTAGATCTCCAGCAGGGGCCCCTCACTTGGATTTTGCCCAGGATGCCTGTGCTCTCCATGCGACTGGCCACATTCACCGTGTTGCCCCAGATGTCGTACTGTGGCTTCTGGGCCCCGATCACTCCAGCCACTACTGGTCCGTGGTTCAACCCTGACAAAAGATGTGGTGAACAAGGGAGCCTTGGTGGGGGCAGCTCCGAGGAGGGCAGGAAGAGGAGAGGAAGCACAAGGAATTGGGAGGAAGGAGAGGACCTCCGGGTGCCCTGGGGCTGGATTGGGGTGTGGCTTGGGGGAAAGCATGTGGGAGCTGTGAGGCTCCTGGCCCATCAGCTGCCTGCCCATCTGCAGGGGAGTGTCCGGGAAGGGTTTGGGAGCAGCCCACAGAGGATCTGGAGTGGGTAGAGCCTGCGGAGGGGAGGAGGCAGCAGACTGCCCAGCAGAGGAGGGCCCTCACCTACGCGCAGGCGGAAGTTGTTGAACGAGTGCTTGTTGATGACATCCAGCTTAGACCCCAGGGCCACTGCAAATTCCACCATGGTGCCCAAGTGGCTGCAGCTGCGCTCGGCTTCCTGGCAATGGGCCTGCCCATGAGGAAGGAAGGACACTAGTGAGGGTCCCACCGTGGAACCACTGGTGAGAGCCCAGAAGTGGTAGGGTCGGTGGGTATGGGGATATGCATACCGGCTGCTGTCCCTGTGGTGCATCCTGCCCAGAGGTGGCATTCAAGCCCGTGGCTGCCATGTAGGTGCTGCCAATGGTTTTGATCTTCTCCACCCCACTGAACTTGGGCTTGGAAAGCAGCTGTGCAGGAAAGAGGCTGAACCTTCAGTCTCTTTCTTTCCCCATCCCCTCCCAGCAACAGGTAACCTGGGAGCTAAAGGATCAGGCTTTGGGCTTAGGAATGGTTGCAGGAAGGAAAAGGATGGTGATGGGCACAACTGGGGGCATCAGAGAAGGAGAGGGGAGGACTGGCCAGGAGAGCCAGGTCCCTGGACTCCAGGACATCAGTCACCTCATCAAAATCTGCAATGATCTCGTTGAGAAGCCGCAAGCACTCGAGCCCCTCATGGTTGATATTGGATTCTGAGTAGAACTCCTTGAAGTCTGGGATGGAGGCGAAGAGGACACACACACACTCGTAGGACTGGTGGTAGAGGTCCTGGGGGTGGGCAGCAGGGGCTGGGATGAGGGCTGCATGCTGCCATCTCCCCGTTCCCAATCTCCACATTCCCAGTGCCCTGCTGAGGAATGACTGGAAAGGGGAGACAGGAGGAGGGCTGGGATACCCCAGGACTGTGGCTCAGTGGTCAAACATTAGGTCTCATAGTGATTCTTGGAGGTCTGGGGCTAGGACTACCTCACAGACACAGAAAAGGAGTCACGCCTACAACTGTGATCGTGTTGATAGGAGTTGCTTCTTATATCCTTTCGAATTGCTGAGGGATGTTAAATCAGCTTACACAGTCCAATCAAGCAGAGGAAAAATAAGGGTAGGGTGATAAAGATGGAATGAGACATGACATGAATTTATAATATGTATGCCCATGAAGTCTCTTGAGCTTTAGTTCTTGGCTCTCAGCTTTTTTTTTTTTTTAAGATTTATTTATTTGAAAAGAAGAGTTGCAGAGAGGGAGAGAGCTCTTCCATCTGCATATTCATTCCCTTAAGGTCATAACAACTGGAGCTGAGCCAGTTCAGAACCAGGAGGAGCATCATCCAGGTTTCCCATGTGGATGCAGGGGCCCAAGAACTTGGGCCAGTCTCAATTGTTTTCCCAGGCGCATTAGCAGGGAGCTGGATTGGAAGTGGAGCAGCCAGGATTTGAGCTAATGCCCATAAGGGATGCTAGTGCCACAGGCAGCAGCTTTACCAGCTTTGCCACAGTGCCGGCCCCAAGCTCTGAGATTTCTAATAGCCAATCAATGTGGAGAGGAAACAGCATGGCAACAACAAGAGTCCCTGGGTCTGTAAGAGAAGAACCTGGGAGAATGGAAATACAGGTCTTGAGCACAGATGGCAGGCAGTGTGGTAGCAAGGCTGTGACCAGCTGTTTCTCTTGTAGTATCCCTCAGGATAGGACATTTCCATACTAATCACCAGGTAGGGTGGTGCAAATGAGATAGCCAAATACACAAGTTACTTTGAGCAAGTTGTTCAGGGTCTAGAGCAGTACCAGTGAAAAGCTCTGTGATGAGGGAGATGCTTCATAAACGTGCAGCTGACATGGTGGCCACCAGCCATATGTGACTACTGAGCACATGAAATGTGTGGCAAGTGCCACTGAAGGACTGGATTTTTTTTTTATTGCAAGTAACTCAAGTAGCCACCTGCCTAGTAGCTGCCATATTGCATAGCACAAGTCTAGAGGAACAGATGACCTCTCATCTACAGGTGACTAGGCATCTGAAAGGTACAAAGCGGCTGACAGCTGGAAAAAATCATTCTGGGGCCAGTGATGTGGTGTGACAGATTAAGCCTTTGCTGACAAAGCCAGCATACCATGTGGGTGCCAGTTTGAGTCCTGGCTGCTCCACTTCCAGTCCAGCTCTCTGCTTATGGCCTAGAAAAGAAGATGCTTAAGTGCTGGGGCCCACAAAACCACATGGGAGACCCAAACGAAGCTCCTGGCTTTGGCGGAGCTTAGTCCAGCCTTGGCCAGTTGGGTATTACTTACTTCCTTCTGCCTTTCAGATAGCTAAATTGAAAAAGGGAAAAACACACCTTTCAAGAGTAACCTTGAAACACAGCAACCCTGAGACAGAGCCTGGGGTCTTGGGAAAACAGAGTACCCGACAAGGGCAGAGGCTGAGGCAGCCTCCTGTGTCCCATGGTGGGTCGGGGGGTGGGGCAGGTCCAGAGAGTTTGAGTGAAGGGTCTCAGCTTTGATCTGCACTGGATCCCAGAGCATCTGGAGCCCTGGGCACCTGGGGTCTGCATTCACCTCATTGCGCCGTTTCTGGCCGATGAACTCGGGGGCCACATGTGCTGGCAGCACATTCTCCAAGAGCAGCCGCGTCAGGTTCTCCATCATCTCTGTCTCTTCCCGCTCTTGCCTCAACTTCTTCTTCCACAAGAAGTCCAGGCGGCAGTAGTACTCATTCTATGGAATGTCATGACAGGTGTGTGTGTGCATGGAGGGTGCATCTCCCCCCTCCCAGCCTTTGCCCCCTCCAATTTAGAGAAAAGATGGGGGGGCAGTTGTCCTTGGTGAGAGACTGCTCCTGAAGCAAGATCCAGATTAGGGTTTGCAGACCTTGAAGTCTGGGCACACTTTCCCAGATGGGGATAGGATGGCTGGAGAGAGGGCAGGGCAGATTTCTTTGGGGAGTGAAGGACCAAGAAGGGAGCAGGCATGCCTGCCTAGAAGATTCTATTGACCCTACCACTTGGGTTCTGCCCTGGAGACAAGAGTGGCTGAGTCCATAATGCAGGAACCCTAGTCCCAAATGCGGAGACTCCAACTCCTTGTGCCTAAGGAAAGACTTGCCAGGATGTAGCCACTGAGCTGGGTGACTCACCTGCCGGGCCAGGACAAGAATAGTGAAGAAGAAGATGAAGAAGGAGATGGCTCCCATCAGCTTGGGCTCCTTCAGCACTCCCGGCCTATGGAGGCAGGGACCAGGGTTGTCCCTTGCTCTGCCCCTTTCTGCTGTCCCCTCTCTGTTCCCAGCACCAAGCTTCCCTCCACTTTTGTCCTGCAGGTGATTCGAGTCAATGGGCTCTGCCACATGCCCTCTTACCCACCCATTCCCGAGGGCCTGTGCTGTAGCCACACCTACCTGGGCCCCAAGGATCCCACGTAGAGGCGTGCAGTAAGACAGTCGGATAGCCAGGCGTGGGAGTGCAGGAAGACGGAGCAGCAGGCCACTAGCCATAGCACGAGCAGCAGCAGCTTCAGCTCGAAGCTCATGTGCAGAAAGAGGGAGCAGGCCAGGAAGCCCAGCACGCAGCAGTGCATGGAGTACTAGGGCACCAGGCAAGGTGCTCAGGCGTGCACCTGCCACCTGCCCCTCAGGCAGGGGTCAGGCACCCCCAAGGGTTCCCTGCCTGCTTCTCTCAGGGCCTGCCTTGGGCAATAGGCAGTCTTCCTCTCTCACACAGATGCACGTGGAAGGTAAGGAAGTGTGGGGAAAGAGTTTCAGGTTCTGTGCAAGAACACTTACCGGGACACTGACAAGAGGTAGGGCACCAGGGCAGTCCCAGGAGAGGTTGAAAGTCATGGAGGATACATTGGGAGCCCAGGCAAGGTAATCCAGCGACACTGGTAAGAAGAACTGTAGAGGATAAAAGAAGATGTGGGCTGGCTTTTGGCCAGGCCAGGGGCAAGTTTGGGCCAGTCTCCTTCATTCAATCTGGGGTAGACTGTGCCAACTCAGATGGAGAAGGGAGCCTCAGTGCTGCCAGAGTCCCTTAGCTTCCTGTTCAAGTTACACTTGGCTGGGCAATGAGTGCCAGGAACCTTCCAGGGTTAGAATTAGGGGAATGGTCCCAAGTTTAGAAAAGAATCAGCTACGCAAATCAAATAAAAAATGCCTACCAAAAAAAAAAATCCTGCACAGAAAGCAATGGAAAAGATGTCCACCATTAGAATGGTAGACACTGAATGACATTTTCTTGGATTGGGAACATGTCTAGCCTCTCCTGGCCTTAGTCCAGCTGCTCTCCTGACCTAAGGTATCCCCTGTTAGTCCCTGGCAGGTCCCACGTGGCCCTCCCCTGAATCCTCACCAGGCTGGTAATGGCCATGATGAAGACAAGGAGAATAGTAGCAGTGCCCAGGGCCACTCGAAGGCCAGGGCGTGTTGCTACCAGGCTGGATAGTGCAGGCATCCAATGCAGCATCTTGGGGCCCTTCAGGACACACTTCTGCAGAAGGAATATAAAGGTCATAGCCCTGTGTCTGAGGTGAGGGGCCTTATTTGGGCCACAGCTCCAGATCCAGCCCACCACTCCCACCCCCCATCCTACCACTCCCACCCCCCATCCCCCCACTCTCATCCCCCATCCCACCACTCTCATTCCCCATCCTACCACTCTCACCCCCATCCCAACTCACCGTCAGGTACTCTGAGAAGCAGACAAAGAGGAGGAGAAGGAAGAGTAGAAAGGTGATGCTGTAGGTGATGGCCAGAGCTGGGGGCCTAGAAGGAGACAAGAGGGAGGCCTTGGGGTACCCTATGTGTTGGCGGGTGCTGTGGCATCTGGTTGGGAAATGGCATGGGAAGAGAGTGGCCCTAGGATCCAGGCTGACAAAATATACAAGGTCCTGTTAACTTGGAAATGCTGAAGGGTCTAGGACAGTGATGGGGACAAGCAGAAGCCTGTCAAGAAGGGACTCTCCTTGAGGATGACTTAAATTACAGCAGTGGCTCTCTGGGCCCTAGGACCACCACTGCTCATCTACCTGGATGGGTTCTGAACAAGTCCTTACCCCTCCTAACACCTGCAAATGACCTCACCTGTCTGTCACGAGCATCTGGATGATGAAATTGGAGAAGAAAACCAGGAAGGTGCAGGCTGTGTAGTATTTGAAGGCAGGGAGTGCTGAGAGTCGGTACTGGAAGGGAGGGGGTTAGGGGCATCAAGCCTTCAAGGACAATCAGAGGGCTTCCCCCTCCCTCCAACACCAGGTCAGATTCTCCAAGGAGCTGCCCTCCCATAACCTGAGAACCTAGCCTATAGGGTGACTTTCCATTCAGAGAAAGAGAGGCATAACCCCAGAAACCCAAGGGAGCAAGGTCTGGTGAGCAGGGACTCCAGGACCGTCCTGTGCCCAGGGCCAAGTTGAGGAATCCTCTGCTGCTCCCCACCCCCTGATGATAGCCCACCTCTTTCTCCATCTCTTTTTCCCGGAAGTACAGCGTCAGGGCATTGAAGTCCTTTGACTGCCTCCATTGTCTGGTGGGTGATCAGACAGACGGCACCAAGAGGAAGAGAGCAGGGCGGGGGCAGGAGGAGGGGGGTCAGTGCAGCAGCCCCTCGTGTCCCTCCTGCAAAGCACCCCCAGCTCTCCCAGCTCTCTTCACTTTCCGTACTTCTGAGAGTTGAGCTGTTCAATGACCTGAAAGAACTTGGCATCCCCAGTGTCCAGTTCTTCATCTAGTCCGCGTGGGGTACGGCTCCTGCACAGTGACAGCCAAGCCTGTCAACACGGAGACCCTCAGAAGCATCTGGCCAAGCAGCAGCAGGCTCGGGGAGGGTGGAGGGGGTAACCCAGGCAGCCCCACTGTCAAGGACACCATGGCATCCTACCGATCCAGACTCCACTGGGGGCTGAAGGAAGCCAAGGCCTTCTCCTGTTGGGAAAGCACATTGTGTTGAGGGGGAGCCGGTGTGCACTGCCTCTGCTGTGAGATGGACACTTCAGGCCTTATACATACCCTTAACCATGGGCATCTGACCTGGCTGCCTCCCTTGCTTCTGTGTCTTCTCTCTCCTACCAAATCCTGCCCACAGTCTTCACTGACTGGTCTATACCATTTACTTTTTCAGTTTCTATCACTTCACTGGAGTGTCCTACTTACTTTTCCATAGGGAATCATCCCAGATCTCTCTGGGTCATATGAAGGAAGAAGTGGTGTCCCAGGGCCACATCACCCACAAATCTAAGATCTGGAGTGTGTGGAAGGGAGAAGGAGCAGGAATTCTGGGAGGGAAGGGCTTGTCCAAGTAGCCTGTCTGTGCAGTTATGCCTAGATCTAACATCTTCCAAACCACCTGCCTGCCCCCGCCCCATGCCTGTAAGGTATATGGAGGCAAGGAAAACACCTCACTCCTTTCTATGCCATTAAAAACTAGCCTAGTGCCTCCCCGGAGTGCGTGCTCACGAGACATGAAAAGGGTGAGTGGCTGATCCCCGATATGGCCACCAACACTGTTCCCCAGAATGCCCAGCTATTGAGCAGAGAGAGGTGATTCTCTGGAGCTTGAACCCTCCAGGGGCTGAGATGTGACACGTATGTTGGCCACACTCTATCCCAGGAGACACCCTTGAAGCCAGGCTTTCTCCCTTCATCCCAGTGTGCCCCAGCCACGTGGCAGTGGAGGGAGGTCTGGCATGGGCTGTGGCAGGAGGAATGGCACTCCAGGTCACATCACAGTCCTTTGGATCATGGGGGACTCCATACATGAGTCACCCCACCCTGGAGGCTCCCTCCTGCCATAGTCTGCTGGGCCTTGGGTTCTTCCTTTCTGTCCCACCCACCAGCCTAACCTCCCTGCTTCTCCCCAACTCCCTGTTGAGCTTAGAATTAAAGACCTCATTGCCCCAACACTACCAAAGCCGCTCTAGTTGCCCCTCCGTGCCCCAGCATCTGCTAATCTTTGGTCTTACTGCCTGCTGGGTGTAAGAGGATGGGACATGGAGAAACTAACCAGCTGTGCCCAGAAGACAAGATTCTGTGGCGATCTGCAGGAAAGTGTCTAGGAGTGCTGGCTGGAGACTGAGTAAGACTGGGGAGAGCAGGCCAAGTGGACTGGGCCTGATCCTGCGACCTGTGTTTGCGGACAGAACCCCAGTCCCTGTATGAAGCGAGGAGGGATCTGGCAGGAGCCAGCTGGCAGGGGAGATTCTGTCTAGGGCCCCAGAGAGAGTGCTGTTGCCAGCGCTGAGTGTAATAAAGCATGAGTGCAACAGGCCTCAGTTAGAGGCCTGACTGGGGCCTGCAGCTCTGCTAGTCTAGTGGGGGATGGAGGTGTCTGTGCAGACCAAGCTGGGGATGATCATCTTTGTTCTCTCTCCGGAGGGAAGGGCTGGAGTCATGCCTGGGGCAGCTGGACAGTTCATGATCTTGAGGTGTCAAAAAGGAAGCCAGTGCCTCCAGGGTGGCAGAGACTGGGAGCCTGGGGTGGAGCCTGAGGGCCACACAGGAAGTTTCCCTGCACTCATGGTGGAGGAGCACCTACCGGGAGCAGTGTGGAGGTAGACACGGGGCTGTCCACGTGGCTCAGGTGGGCAAAAGGTTTGGCTGCGCCCCACGACTCCAGGTAGCGGGTCATCAGCAGCGACGGGCGCATCTCATGGCCTTCCAGAGAGGACAGGAGCCCCCCCGCAGTGCCCTGCTCATCCTCCTCCTCCTCAGCCTGCAGCACAGGGAGGGGACAGTGGAGTCACAGGCGCCCTTCAGTTCCTGCACGCCTAGGCGGAGGCTCATCTCCTTCCATTTGCTCCCCATCCCCAGCGCCCCCTGGGAGCCAAGACCCCTTCTCTGGCAGAAGAGATCAGGTATGTTGTCTGTGGGCTGGTTGGTGTGGGCCAGCCTGGTGTATGTGTCAGGGTGGAGTGAGTCCAGGCTAGGCTTTACCCGGGGATCGATGACCAGGTAGGTAGGCTCCCCTAGTTCTCGAAGGTATGGGTCCCGGTGTTCCATGGCTGCATCCTCTACTGCGTAAGCCCCCGCCAGCAGGGCCAGGGTGGCCCGCGTGATGTGTACCCGTCTGAAGGGAGGGGGTGGTGCAAGTCAGCGGGATGGACCTCCCAACCTCTCATTTCTGCAGGGGGCAGGGGCTTAAAGAAACACCCCCCTCCCACCCCATGCCTTCAGAATCTTCCTGGGGCTGTACTCTGCTGAGGAGCTGCGTAAAGGGCAACAGCAGGCAGGAGGCCTGGGTGGCTTCCTGGGGCAACTGCTGGGGCCCTAGGCCTTACCCTGGCACACCGCCTGCCTCCATGTGATTGGCCAGCGTGACGTCATGGGACCAGACGTCGTACTGCCACTTCTGCAGCCCAATGACTCCGCAGAGCACGCTGCCTGAGTGCACGCCCACACGCATGTTGATGTCCACCCCAGTGGCTGCCCGCAGCTTCCTGAGCAGAGTGGTAGTGGGGGTAGGGGTGGGGGGGGGGAACCAAATGAGTAGTAGTCTCCAGTCCCACCCTCCTAGGCCACACCCCTTCCTCACCACCAGCTTCTTCCACCACCTTTCCTGCCCCTCCCACCTCCATCTCGCTATACTCCTCCTCTCTCTCCATGTCAGCTGACCTGATGGCCCGGCACATGTCCAGCCCCATGCGCACGCAGTTGATAGCGTGGTCTGGCAGCGAGAGGGGCAGCCCAGAGACACAGTAGTAACAGTCGCCTAGGATCTTGATCCGCATGCATTCGTGCTCCTGGGAGTATGCGTGTGTGCCCGTGTGTAGGAATTTGAAACTGGTTAGAGGCCAGAAGGTGGGGAAGTGGGGAGGGATGTGTGGAAGGCTTTTCTAGTTTGGGCATGCCTGGGATTTCCTTTAACTTGACGCGGGGCTGACTGAGTCTTCCATAGAGACATCTTTCTCAGGAGATACTTCTGTGACTGCCCGGTTTGGGCATGTATGTGTATGTGTGTGTTGGGGCAGGGTAAGGGGTACCTAGATTTGGGGAAGTGGAAGTGGCCCGAGATTGAAACGGTTTCTGGGGGAGGGAACAAAAATAGCTTGCCCAGAGGCAGCCCTGGGCTCTGGGCTGGGGCTGCCGAGGGCAGCTGAAAATCTCTGATTCAGTTGCAGAGTCCAGAGACGCCCAGGGTTGGGACAGCTGCAGAGATGTTGCAAGGTCCCTCCAGACAGGAGGCTAGGATGAGCAGCAGGTGAAGCCGGTGTTTGGGAGGGTTTCCTACGTCTGCTGCAGTACCCAGCTTGGAAGAGGCTCTTTCAAGGTGGGGGTTTCTCTGGGAAGGAGCTCTCTAGACTAGCGTGTTTGAGGGGCAGTGGGTTGGCATTTGGCAGGGGGCGGGGGAGGCCTGACCTTGGCTATCTGGTCGAACTTGCCAAAGAGCTCATTGAGCATCAGCACCAGCTCCTTGGGGGAACACTCACTGGCCAGCCTGGTGAAGCCCACAATGTCGGCATAGAGCACGCTGCAAGCACAGGACATGCCAAGTGAGCGGGGACCAGCTCTGTCCGCCACCCAATCCTTCCAGCAGCCCTGCCTCCTACCTGACTCCCTGGTGCCTCTTGACATAGAGGCTGTGGAAGTTGTTGGTGCTCTCTGGCCGTGACCCCTGGCCGGCCTGTAGCCGAGCCATGATCTCAGCCTTCATCTCGCGGGCCAGGTATGCAGGAAGGATGGATAACAACAAGTGCTCCTGGAGAAGGTGACTGTAAGATCGAAAGCCAGGAACCCCAGTCCCCCCAAGCCATTCACTGCTCTCTGATGGCGCTTTTCCAGGGTCTGCCCCAAGCCCGGCCCACGCGCGGAGGAGTGTCACCTTGGCAGCTCTCTCTGCTGCTCGCCTCCCATCCCTCCCCTCAATCCGCTCCGCCTCCAGCCCCGCATCCTGCCTGACACCTCCGGCCTCGCTTCCAGCCCCGCCTCCCGCCTCCGGCCCCGCCTCCCAGGTCCTGCCCCGCCTCCCATTTCTTGCCCCGCCTCCTGCCCCGCCTCCCTGTTCCCGCCTCCCACCCCGCAATCCTGCCCCGCCTCCCGGCTCCAGCCCCGCCTCCCGGCTCCAGCCCCGCCTCCCGGCTCCAGCCCCGCCTCCCGGCTCCCGCCCCGCCTCCCGGCTCCGGCCCCGCCTCCCGCCTCCGGCCCCGCCTCCCGCCCCGCCTCCCGCCCCGCTGACCTGGTGCTTCTTCTCCGTGTCCAGCCGCCGGCGCGACTGCAAGGAACTGAGTGCCTCGCGGAAGGTGGCGCGCAGCGCGCGCTCCATCAGCGCCTTGTGGTACGCTCCCACCGCGTTCCCGCACAAGAACAGCACCGCGTTGGCTGCCAGCTGCGGGTGAGCGCCAAGCTCAGCGCAGCGCGCGGGACTGGGTGGGGATGGGGCTGCAGTCGGGGAGGACGCCGCTCGCCAGGGAGGGTCCTAAGCATTGTGGGACGAGGGGTGCCCATCTTCCACGTTCTCGGTCGCTGTGCCAACGTGGCCTCTTAGCCCTCCCTCTCACCATCCTCCTTCCCGACCCGCTCCCGCCGCACAGAACCACCCAAGTTCCGATTTTACCCGTGGAGGTTCCATCACCCAGTCACCCACATATTGACACCCCATCCCCATCCTGGCCAGCCACGGCTTCCTTTCCCTAGGGGCCCAGAACCTTCTTCTGGGCTCCTCAACCGTCTCGGGAACCAGCGGGGCTGTTTGGGTTGGTGTCCTGCGCCCGGCCTTTCCCCCCATGGCCCTACCTGCGCGCAGAGGGGCTGCGCTGAGGTGGGGCGCAGGGTGAGGAGGAGCCCAGGCCTTGAGGATGCGAGCTCACCTGCGGCAGGAGCGCGGGCCGTGAGTCGGGCTGCGGCCCAAGGTACAGCCCCAGGACCAGCAGGTGCGAGAGGGAAGAGGCCAGGCCGGCCGCGATGGCGACCCGCATGCCCAAGGGCAGCATGGTGTACGCCGTGAAGATGACGAAGAGGAAAAAGGACACCTGGGGAGGGCCAGAAGCGGAAGGCTGAAGGCCGGGGTGGGCGTTGCGCCTCTCCAGGGCTGGCTGGGGAGTGGGGCGGCCGTGCCCTCCCACCCCCTGCGCGGTGCCCCCTCTCACCTGGTCCCAGGCGCTCACCACACCCCCTGTGAACAGGAAGCCGTGGCCCAGCGCTAGCAGGGCGGCCCACACGAGACCGGACAGGGCCCACGTCCAGCGCTGCAGTCGCTGCTCGCGGGAAGCCAGGCCCAGCAACAGCGCGAAGCCGCCCAGCGCGCACAGCACGGTGGTTAGGAAGCTCGGCTCTGAGACCAGCGCCTGCAGGGAGGCGGTGCGTGAGGCAGTATGGGGCCAGGAGCTCCCGCAACGGGGAGAAGGCACGTAGTGCCTGGGAGGGAAGCAGATAGCCCCTCCAGGCCGATTCTGAAAAGTCCCAAGTCCAGCTATGTTTTCCATTCCCCTGAGGTCAACACTTTGCTGGTCGGGGGGGCTCCTGTGGTTCACCCTGTATCTGATTTGTATTCCCAACCTGGGACGTCTACCTGGAAGAATAGCAGCAGATCCCATACCAATTATTTGTGACTCCATGACTTTTCTGTCACGTGGGAACCACAGTACCAGTGTGGGGCTCCCAGGCAAGAGGATGGACCTCAGCTCACAGGAATCCACTTAGGAACGGAGGCCTGCCACCACCAGGGCCCTTCTTGGGGGTAGGCGGCTCCCAGCTTCGGGACGCGCAGTGTCGCGCTCGCGCAGCAGAGGGCGCCAGGCACCCGCCGCGTCTCCGGCCGCCCGGGGCCGCGACCTCGCCACCTGCTCTCGGCGCTGCCTTAGTGCTCCCACCGCCGTCCCCGCCCTTCGTTCCTACCCTCTTCCTGGACTTTGGGGTGAATCAACAAGTACTGGCCACGCCCGGTGATATATTCCCCCCCCCCACACACACACCCTGTCTCCAAGGGCTAGGAGAAGGGAGGGAAGAAAAAATGTTTCCAGAAATGAAATATACGAGCTCCATCCTTCCCAAATGTATACTGCAAAGGGACTGTAGGGGAGTGGGATGAGGGCGTCTTCGGGCATACTTCGGGTACAACTGCCCCACATCCCCTACTAGGGAGAGAAAGCCAGGAAATGAATTCCCCCGGGGCCTGAGTAGAATTTCCCCTCTGGAAAGCTGGAAAATCCGGTGTTGGATTGAATTCTAGAGTCGGTGGACCACAGCAGCTCACAGGATCTGTAAGACCCCCGGAGAGAAAGGAGGGCACAGGAGCATCTACGGGACCCTCGCTGAAGATGCGGAGAACCCGGCCCGGAGCTGCCAGTGACGTCTCAAGGGTCACTCCGCTCTTGGCAGCGAGGCTCCACACTTCGTGCCCAGCAAAGAGAAACACGATCAAGAAGACCGGTCCGAACCCTTGACACACCCCTCCCAGTTCCCCAACCCCATGTCTGGAAGGGACCTTCCCAGCTTTTTTCCCTGCGCGGCAGTGGTCGCACGCCCAGCTCACCCTGCCACTGGCCCAGGCAACGGCGAGCAGCGCTCCGAGCGCGCACAGCACGATCATCAGCAGCAGGAGCAGTAGCGGGTACTGTTGGCTCAGGCTGTAGTAGGTCTCATAGAAGAGGTCTTCGCTGGGCGGTGGCCGGGGGCTGAAGAGGCGCGCCATGGTCGCCGCGGCCTGGGGAGGGCCCGCCACCCAGTGAGAGAGGCCCTAGGGCGCGCAGCCCTCACCTGCTCCCAGCCATGTCATCCCGTGTGCAGCGCGCTACGTAGCCCCATTCCCAGCCGGCTCCCGGCTGGTGGTGAGGGGTTCCCCCTCAACGCACCCAGCTTAGTTCCCCCAACCCTCCCCGTCATCAGGGGGGCGAGACTTGGCTGAGTGGCACCCAGCAGCCCCGCTCCCCCTTGCTCCCGAACTCACTGCCCACGACGCCACAGCAGCCTGGTGGCCCAGGCCGGCTAGGAAGCTGGGGTGGTCTGCTTTCCGAGTGGCTCCAGTGCCCTGGGCGACAGACGCTTCCCTCCCGGCGCCACGGCCCCCTCCCACTTCCCCCAGCAGACAGCCCGGCCCCTTCCCGTGCTGGGTCTGACTCCCTGGGCCGCCTCCCTCACTTCGGATCAGCTCCCGTAAGGCCATCCTGTTGGTTTCTCGGCCCCTCTTGAGAAGGGGAATGTAGGCCGTGGGAGCAGCACGAGGGGGCTTGGGTGGGCCGAATGGGGAGCCCTTCGTGGGGGAGCCTTGCACCTGCGGAGGCTGAACAAGGACCTGAGAGAAGCTAGGTGAGAATCTGGAGGAGAGAGTGTGGGTGCTGATGCCGGGATGGCACAGGGATTTAGATTGGACAAGGGACACCATTTCCCTAGCCACTGGCATATGGGGACACCTCTGTGTGTGTGTGTGTGTGTGTGTGTGTGTGTGTGTGTGTGTGTGTGTGTGTGTTTGACTTTGAGGACCTCTCACTTTTCACTCTCGGACACCAGTAGAGAATCAGACGGCCTTGTGTGAGAGCTGGTGGTGGAGGGAGGTGAAGGCATGGGGGCATGGATTCCCTCGCAGCCCCCCTCACCCACACCTGGCTGTGGCCCAGTCTCTGAGGCCTAGGAGAAGTGTGGGGAGGGTGCTGCAGGGCCACAGCCTCTGCTGAAAGAGCTAGGGCCGCAGGCGGGGCTCCAGGGGAAGCGCTCCACCCTGAGATTAGAGCGCCCCTGGGAGCCAGGCATCTGGGATTCCTTCCTGCCACAGCTGTGCCCTGACCCCGGTGCCACCCACTGACCTCCCTGGCCTCACACTTCCTGCCTCCACCCCATGGTGCTTTCTTCTCCCAGGGCTGCCAGCTCTGAGGGCCCTCCCCTCTCCATCCCTCTGGCTGACACCAAACTTACATTTAGGCCCAAAATTCCATCACCATTTTGTGCATCCTTGCCCTCTCCCTCCCTCCTAGGTGTAGATTAGAGTCAGTTTAGAGAAAGCTGGCCCCAGGCTCTCTCTAGTCTTCTTTTAATAAAGATTTATTGATTTGAGAGCTCAGTACGATTGCGTAATGGCTAAAGCCCTCGCCTTGAATCAGTGGGATCTCATATGGGCACTGGTTCTAATCCCAGTGGCCTGGCTTCCCATCCAGCTCCCTGCTTGTGGCCTGGAAAAGCAGTTGAGGACGGCCCAAATCTTTGGGACCCTGCACCCGTGTGGGAGACCCAGAAGAGGCTGCTGCCTCCTGGCTTTGGACTGGCTCAGCTCTAGCCATTGCAGCTGCTTAGGAAGTAACTCATGAGACGAAAGATCTTCCTCTCTGTCTCTTCTCTGTATATCTGCGTTTCCAATAAAAATAAATAAATCTTTTTTAAAATAAATAAATCTTTACAAAAAAAGATTTATTGATTTGAAAGGTGGAGCTCAAGAGATTGTTCATCTGTTGGTTGACTCCTGAAATGGCTAGAACAGGCCCAGCCAGGTCTGGGTCAGGTGGAAGTCAGGAGCCTGGATTGGCAGATGCCTAAGCACTCATACCATCCTCCATCCTCCACTGCTTTACTGACACATTGGCAGCCTCGGAAGTGGAGCAGCCAGGACTCGAACTGGTGGCTTAACCTGTTGCACTACAACATACACTCCAGCCTTCAGCTTCTGGCTTTCTTTTGATCTAGTTGTGAGGATGCTGCCAGCCCCTACCCATGTGGGAGGGTGTGGAGCCCTGTTTGGGCAAGGGTGTTGTCTGTTGTATAGTCAGTGTGTTTTTGTCTCCAATCTGCACTGCAGAACAGTTGTCTAAGATAATACACGGCGCCCCTGGGAGGAGAAGAGGGGGCGGTTTGAGCAATCAGGAAGAGACAGGCAGCAGGAACCACAGGGCAGGTGAACAGTGGCCCCTTGTGTTCACCTGGGAGAAGTGCAAGTATGGGGTCTCAGCCTGGCAGTGGTTCTGCCATGGGCAATGCCTGCCCCGTCCCTCCCTCTCCAGAGTTAGTTTTGCAGAAGCTCAAAAGGAGCAGCAACTGGCACTTATTTTGTTCTTTTGTTGGGACCAATCTAGAGACCATGGAACTTAGGGGCTCACAGATGGAGTGCTGGGGGTGGGGGCAGTGTCAGGCAACCATGTGTAAATTCAGGCATTGAAGGGTGACTTCAGCAGGATCCTCTCCCAGAGGGGCTCAGCTTCTTATTTGGTTTAGATTATCCCGAACCCTTCCTCCCATTTCCCTTCTGAGGCATCCTGGATCTACACATACTGAACCTGAAGAAGCTGCTGGAAGAATTGAGCAGCCAAAAGGATGGGGTGAGGCTTGGGTACCTGCTCTTGGATATGCCCTTGGGTTCCTGGAGAACATGTGGTGTTCCTGCAAACAACATAGGCCTCCTGTCATAAAGTCTGGCTCCTCAGATGCTCACCTGCTCAGTTCCAAGTTCACCCTAAGGAAGAGGCTAGAACGCGCAGGTGTCCCAGGGTCTTGCGGCACTGCCAGGGTCTCACCTGCTGTCCTTGGGGGTGCAGGTCTGGGGGCTCAGTCCCACTGGAGTTTGGCTTGTCTGGGGTTTGGGATGGCTGGACCATTGGGTCCAGAGACGTCCCTGCTGTCTGGGGCGGCCAAGCCTGTTCTTGTTCCCTTGTGGCAAGGCTGGCGTAGGCTTCAAGCTTCGAGGTAAGTGGCTCCTCCAGAGTCAGGCTACCCAGCTCATAAATCATGGAGCACTGATTTCCCGTGGTCCCCCAGGGCTTGCCCATTTGTGTCCCTCCTGAGCCTGGCTGTGGCGTAGGTAGCCTCCTTTGCTCAGAGAGAAATGCCTTCACCTGTGGCGGAGACAGGGGGAGCTAGTGGGGCAGGCACTGGTATGGCTTGACTCCGGGTTTGGGGCAGCCATCGGGCACTCACCATTGAGACAGCAGTGTCCAATTTGTCCTGCACCGAACGAAAGGTGTTGTGGGTTTCTGGCTGGCATTCTGAGGGACAGTGGATCCCAGGTGAGTAGAATTTCTCCCCCACCCCCACCACCGGATCCAACCTCCCCAGCTGCCAGGGCAGGGACGATGGCCAGCTCACCTTGGAAGGAGGGCCGTTCTCCAGGCTCGTGGCTCCAGCAGCGCTGTAGCAGCTCTTTTAGTTCCTCCAGGCCGGGAGTCTCCGGGCCGGAGGCTGGTATCTCGTTCAGTGGAGGATGGTTGTGCCTCTCACACAGGGCTTCCTGCAGCAGGGACGTGGGACCCACCCCTGGGGTGGGAGAGTAGGGAGTATTGGCCACGCTGCTCGCAGGGGTATTGGGCAAAGGGGAGGAACAGGTAAGGGAGAGCTTGGGGGAGAGAGACATTTGGGGCCCAGGACCCCTCCAGGTTCTGTAGAGGCTTACACTCAGGTTCTCTTCCAGCCAGCACTGCCCACATTAGGATCCCAAAGCTGCGGGAGACACAAAGCTGAGGCTTGGCCCAACCCTGGCTCTATACCTCTGTCACGTGCCACCCTCTGAGAAGTGCCCAGAGAAGCGTGAACAGCTGGGCTCTGTGTCCAGGTAGATTGTCTTACCTGTAGACATCACTGGCCATAGAGGCCTTCCGGTTTACATCAGCTAACAGCTCCGGGGCCAAGTAGTTCAGGGTGCCCCGTGGCTCACTGGACCCTACCCCTGACTGTGAACTTCCCTGGAATGTGGACAGGCCAAAATCTGCCAACTGCAAAAGGAAAGAGATGGAGACAAGGAAAGAGATGGGCAGGGCCCAGAATCTTCTTTCCTCTCCTCCCCAAATGACCCAAGAACAGGCCCATCTGATTTCTTAAAGATGGGGCAGGGGCATGGAGGTTGAATCAGGGGGTCCTTGGGGTGGGAAGTCTAGGTGCCCTGGGGGGTGGAGCTAGGTCAGCTATGACCTGTGGAGAACCTGGTGGGTGGCTGGGGCAGTTGAATGCTACAGGGCATATATCACGTGGAATGGCAGAAGCTCAAACTCCTGGCTGCACCTTGGGCCCCTGGGTAGCCCTAGGACCAGAGCCAGAAGCTAAGGTTGTTCATCAGACAAGGTGACCATTGGGCGGGGACTCTGGGCAGGGGTGGGGGGTGGGCTAACCTTGGCGTGGAATTCCGAGTCCAGCAGAACATTGGAGGGCTTGAGGTCCCGGTGCAATAGTACCGGGTTCAGGCTGTGCAGGTAACACATTCCGAGCACCACTTCGTGCAGCAGGCGGCAGAGAAGTGGCCAGACCCGGGGACACTGGGGCTGCAGCAGCTCTGCCAGTGAGCCATTCTCCATGAACTGGGTCACCAGCGCCGGTCCGCACACATTGTCCCACTCCAGGTTCTCCGTGACCCCCAGCAGGAGCAGCACGTGCTGGTTACGGAGACCAGCCATGGCCTTCACCTCCCTGGATATCTTCTCCCTGCGCTCCAAAAGAGAACTGAGGTTGCGCTAGGTCAGGGAAGGACCTGTCCTCTCCCGCCTGGAGTCCCCAGAGCCCGGCAGCCTCGCCTTCCTCCGAGGCCAGACAAGGGGCAACAGCCGAGGTCACTCACGAGTTCACGATCTTGACAGCCACATCATAGCCCCACTTCCGATGCTGCGCCCGGAACACGGCGCCGAAGCCGCCTTGGCCAATGAACGCGGTCTTCTCCAGTTCCTCAAGAGCCACCAGTGGGGCAGAGGCACCGTTGGGCCTGAGAAGAGGAGGTTCATTAGTTCCCTAGCCGCCTACTAGCGGTCAGAGTCTGAGCCCACGAGCAGCCCGAGTCTCCATCCCTCACCACCCGGGTGCCGGTGGCTCCTCCACTGCTCCAGGCTGAGGGCGCTCCCGGCAGCCTCCCACTCGCGGTGTGAGGGGACTGGCCCCGGTGCAGCGAAGCACCGGTGTCTTCGGCGAGGCGGGAAGCGTGAGGCGCACCCTCAGGCCCCTTCCTACTCACCACAGTTTGACGGAAGACATCAGGCCAGTAGGAGCCGGTGGCGAGCCTCGGGGATGAGGCGGCCAGGGTTCTGGGTAGACAGGAAGGGGGTCTGCAAAAGTCAAGGTCAAGCACTTATTCCCCTTCCCTCCTGCCGCGCTGCTGGGAATTACTCAGCTACTTCCTTCTCTGTAAGCTACAGTCCCGCCCCTACTGCCCGGACCAGGCGGAAGGAAAACTAGCGCTTTTCTCTTTCGAGGTGTACTTCCTAGTCTCCCTAGGCAGTGGTTAAGTGTAGCTGGGCAATGAGGGTGCCACGAAAGGAGTCCCTCCAGGCCAGACACCCACTGCTGACTGCCAGGGGATCTCCAGCCAGACACCTGCCAGGTGAGCTTTATGGCTCTAGGGTTCAGTTCTCACACAGCTGTGCTGAGGTTCTAGCTGATGCCACTACAGGTTTCTGCTGCGCCAGGCATACCTATGTAACATACAGAAATAATGGAATGCCTTGTCAGAAGAGCAAAGCCTGAGTTTGCAGTGTGTGTGTTATATATGTGTGAATGTGTGTGTGCATGTATGCGTGTGCTTGTGAGTGTGTGTGTGTGTGTGTGTGTGTGCTTTCATGTGGGTGCAGGATCCAAGCATCTGGGTCAGCTTCCATTGCTTTCCCAGGTGCATTAGCAGGGAGAAATTGGGAATCAGTACTCCAATATGGGATGCAAATCCAATGTTGTATGTGACAGTTTAACCCACCATGCCACAATGCAAGCCTCCCCAGGCTTTTTGAATGGTTTATGAAATATCTCCTAGATGGGGTTATTGTGAGAACAGGATAGAATAAGGCCTGAAAAAATCCTGCCCCTTGGAGTCAGTGCTGTGGTGCAGCCTAACCCTCTGCAGCATGGGTGTCTTTTATCCATTCCAGTTCCAGGTCCTGGCTGCTCCACTTCTGCCCTAGTTCCTTGCTTATGGTCTGGGAAGGCAGCAGAGGATGGCCCAAGTCCTTGGGCTCTAGCATCCATATGACTCTTGACTTCTGGCTTCGGATTAACCAAGCTCCAGCTGTTGCAATCATTTGGAGAATGAACCAGCAGGTGGAAGATCTTTCTCTCTGTAATTATGCTTTTCAAATAAAAGTAGAATAAAGCCCTGAAAAAAAAAAAAAAAGAAAGAAAATGCTCTGGTCCTGATGCAAGTTGCATGCTTAGTAAGTGACAAGTGCGATTTTGAACACTTCTAGTTCACAAATGTGTGGGCAGAGAAAACAAACTGAAGGACTCAGTGTGAAATAGCTGCCCTTCCTTCTCCAGATCAATTCCCAGCCCTACTCTTCCCACCCTTCATGGAGTGGTGGGGGGTTGGGAGACCCCTTTAATGACTCACCCCTCAGATCTTCCTGAACGAGCTGGGTGACTACAGAGGGGCGTCTAATCTAGGCACCTTCACGTCTCTGTCTGCTTGGCACCAGAAGGAGCCTGCCTCTTTTCTTTGTGGTTAGGATGGTTGGAGGGAGAGGGGGGAAGGGAGAGAACAGAAAGAGAAGCAAGGGCACAGAAATTTTGTGGCACCAAAATCCCAAATGGGCACTGGTTCAAGTCCCGGCTGTTACACTTCCCATCCAGCTCTCTGTTTATGGCCTGGGAAAGCAGTGGAGGACTGCCCAAAGCCTTGGAACCCTGTGCCCATGGGAAAGACCTGGAAGAGGCTCTTGGCTCCTGGTTCTGGACCCATATCTGGCTCTGGCCTTGTGACTCCCTAGGGAGTGAACCAGCAGATGGAAGATCTCTCTCTATCTCTCTAATTCTGACTTCCAAGTAAAAAATAAATAAATCTTTTAAAAAAAAATAGTGTAGGGCCGGTTGATTTGGGAAGACTGAGCCAGTGGTGCTTGTGGCATGGATAAAGATGGGGTTGTGAGGTGTAACTCAAATAAATGATAGACCCAAAGACCCCTGCCAATTTGACTCGGCACCATTTTAAGGATTTTCTTCCTCTAGGTCTTGGTTCCCTTAAGATTTGCACATCCTCTAGATTCAAACAATTTTTAAAGGAATGATTAATTAGATTTTATTTTATTTTTTAAATTGAAAAGTCAGATGTGCAGAGAGGAGGAGAGACAGAGAAGATCTTCCACCTGTTGATTCACTCTCCAAGTGACCACAACGGCCACAACAGCTGGTGCTGCGGTGATCTGAAGCCAGGAGCCAGGAACTTCCCCCAGCTTTCCCATGTGGCTGCAGGGTCCCAAGGCATTGGGCCGTCCTCCACTGCTTTCTCAGGCCACAAGCAGAGAGCTGGATGGAAAGTGGAGCTGCTGGGATTAGAACCAGCATCCAAATGGGATCTGGCGCATTCAAGGTGAGGATTTTAGCCACTAGGCCACCGCACCTGGCCCTAGATTCAAATTTTGTTGTCTGGGCTCGGCACAGTAGCCTAGTGGCTAAATCCTTGCCTTACATGCTCCTGGATCCCATTTGGGCACCAGTTCGTGTCCCGGCTGTTCCACTTCCCATCCAGCTCCCTGCTTGTGGCCTAGGAAAGTAGTCAAGGACGGCCCAAAGTCTTGGGACCTTGTACCTATGTGGGAGACTCAGAAGAAGCTCCTGGCTCCTGGCTTTGGATTGACTTAGCTTTGTCCCTTGTGGCCACTTGGGAGTAAACCAGTGGATGGAAGATCTTTCTGTCTGTATCTTTTATTCTCTGTAAATCTGACTTCCCCCCAAAATAAATCTTGAAAAAAAAAGGCAAAAATAAATTTTGTTGTCTGCCAATCCTTTGAATCTAGCAACCTTTTTCTCCATCAGTCTGAATTACTTTGTAACCTCATTCCCACCAATCCACTGTACCTCTTGGTGCCATACCTGATGGCCTTATCCACCAATCCCTCACGGCCTCTCCCCCTAGTTCTCACCCACCGCCAGCACCTACCAATCTGTGCTTCCAAGAGCCCTATCTGTTAATTCTTCATGACCTGCCCACAGCCCTACCCACCAATCCCTTACAGCTCCGTGATACCCACCCCAGCCATAAAGGCACACTCCTGGTGTGTGGGGGCCACCTTCCTCTTGCTCTCCCCCTCTCTCTTCTCTTGCAGTCCCCTCCTGCTACTTTGGCAGGAGACCTCGCTCTCTTCTCTCTCTCTCTCTCTCTCTCTCTCTCTCCCTCTCTGCCTCCATTCCCAGTCTCTCTCTGCCTCCATTCCATCTTCCCTGATGGAATAAAACCTCCTGTGTGGCTTGCTGTGTCTGGTGCTTCGGCTTGTGGCAGCAAAGTGAAAAGAGCTAATGCTGAAGAGACCTAATGGGAGAAGTGAAGGAGGGGAAGACCAGAGCGCACGATGTCAGTGTAACTCCTTGGAGGATGATGGGGCTCCAGAGTTCATGCCAGTGAGGCTGGAGAGGAAGAAAGCCAGCGCAGAGACATTTCCAAAATATTAATAGAAGGATCTGGAGATGAGAGAGAGGAAGCATGAACAGTTTCTATTCTGGGACACTGAGAGAATGGCAATGCCATAAATTGTGATACAGAATGGTATGGAAATAGCTTAGGAACCGGGGAATCTCAAAAAGTCCTGGGAAAATGTGTGTTTTGAGAAAACTATGCATGCAGTTCCAAAATGTCTACCTCAAAATAAACTTATACTTTAATATCTTTCATGAACTTGTTGGAGACTGTTTGTATTTGAGTGAGAGACGTGTGTGGAAGCCTGGAGGGAATTTCCCACCCGCCCTCCAAGGAGAAAGTGTGAGACCAGAACAAGGAGAAGGGTAAGAATCAAGTTGCAGGGAATGAGTAGAATTAACCAGGAAGGCCTATGGCTGGAGAAGGGAAGGAGTTGGAGGACAGAAAACCTTGCCTTGACTTCAAGCTCAGGTTGTAGAAGAGAAACTAGTGAGAGAAATTGAAGCAGCAATGGCAGACCCAGGCTAGCCAGGGGAGGAGAGGGCCATCTATCAGCAACTACTGAGAAAGCATAGCAATCCAGGTTTTCCAGAGAAGTCACCCGACAGTGGATTTGCACACAGGTATGTTTGGGGAAGGGAACTTCAGAAAGCAGGAGTGGAGGGAAACAGAGTTAATACGGAAGGAGGAAACGGTGTTTCATGAGATTGTAGCTGATGGAAGTTTCAGCCCAGTAGAAGCTCCAATTTCGGGAATGTCTTTGAGAACTAGCCACACGAAAAAATGGGAGCCTGAAACACTCCTCTCTCTGTCAGTGTCTGTATTCATTGGTTGAGGATTGCATCTGGGCAGGTGGGCTAACTTGCCTACCTGTCTGGGCTGTGTTTGCATCAGAGCTGGCAAGGAGGGTGTGGTGAGCAAGCCCCTGGCATGTGGGAAACCCTTGCGGAAGTTCATGTCACATGTAAACTTGAAGAGCTTTGAACATGAAGGAAACAAACAACTAGGTTGGCCAACTTTAAGTATAGCAGAGAGTCTCATACAATTTGTTGGAGGCCATAATGGAGCAAAAAAGGATCTTTCTCTACCTACTCCCCAATCTTTGGGCTTTATCTGTGCTATTGGCTTTCTTGAGTGTTGAGTCTACAGTCTTGCACTGCAGATTCTATATTTCTGTGTATTCATAATCATGAGAGCCAATTCCTTAGAGCACATCTTTGTCTCTGTATACATCATGTTGGTGCTTCTCTGAGAACCCTAATACAAAGCCTGGAGCAATGTGAAAGTCAACTACAGGGACTGGTACTATGGTCCAGCACATTAAGCCTCTGTCTGCAGCATGGTATCCCAAATGGATGACAGTTTGAGTGTTGCACTTCTGATCCAGCTTCCTGCCAATGTGCCTGGGAAAGCAGCAGAAGGTAGCCCAAGTGCTTGGGCTCCTGCAGCCATGTGGGAGACACGGATGATGCCTCTGCCTCCTGGCTTTGGCCTGGGCCAGCACCAGCCTTTGTGGCCACTTGGGAAGTGAACAAGAGGATAGAAGATCTCTCTCTCACTGGGTTTCTCTCTTTTTTTTCTCTGTAACTCTTCTTTTCCAATAAACAGATTTTTTTTTTTAGGGTCAAGGTATAGAATTGAGATAATGTGCCGACAGTGCACATGAGTCACACTCCCTTGGATCTATAACTGAGCCAGAACCCGAGAGTGTTCTGTGTGAGCACACCATCTGTCAGGGTTCGTAAACAGGATGAGGACTCATGTAGCTGGTGGTGTTTCACAGTTAAGACGGCTTTGCTGCCTTTGCCAGAAGAGCTTCTGTTTTATCTTGAGCAAGCAGGATTTGAGAAACAGAGACAGAGCACATGTGCTGCTGCCAGAAGTTTGGAAACAAACAGGAAGAGAGGGACAGAGGGACAGAGGGGTGCATAGGAAATGAAGTCTCCTGCAAAGGACCATGGGAATTTCTTTGGGTTTTTTTTTTTTTAGAGTTATTTATTTTTATTGTAAAGTCAGATATACAGAGAGGAGAGACAGAGAGGAAGATCTTCTGTCTGTTGATTCACTCCCCAAGTGACCACAATGGCCAGAGCTGCACTGATCAGAAGCCAGGAGCCTCTTCTGGGTCTTTCACGCGGGTCTAGGATCCCAAGGTTTTGGGCCATCCTCGACTGCATTACTAGGCCACAAGCAGGGAGCTGGATGGGAAGCAGGGCTTCTGGGATTAGAACTGGTGCCCATATGGGATCCAGTTCAAGGCAAGGACTTTAGCCACTAGGCTACTGTGCTGGGCCTGCTGCTAAGCTTCAATGATGAACAAACAACCTGTTTATTTTTTCCCTTTTTGTCTTGTGTTCATAGGCTTCTTTGCTGCAGTCTTTTTTTCTTTTTTTGCAGTCTTGTGGGGTCACTCACTATGTTGGCCCCCTCATCCTCTGACAATCAATCGCTTTCCACCTGCCAACCACCTGCATCTCATTCTCGGCTCCAGGCTTTGCCTTTGTTGGGGAAAATCCGAGACAGAATCCCACAGTATAAAATGTGAGCATAATGAATTAAACCCTGAATATGGACCCGACTCCGGGGTCCTGGGTTTCAGAACCGTTACTGATAGTACAAGAACGCCACTTTATCGACAGGAAACTTGAGTGCTTCCATGCCACGGATCACTGTTTTTCTTACGTGTGGCGAGGGAAAGAAGCAAGCCCAGGAAAATGCTTGTACATCTGTGACAGCAAATGCGCACAAAATGGTGAACTATCAACCAGGACTCACTACACATCTGTGTGGTTTGAGACGTCTATAACAGTTTGCATCTTGTGTAGTCTGAAAAATAACAGATGTCTCCAAGGCCGTTGACTCACACTTGTGTCTCAGCTCCGCTGCACTCCCTCTCGGGCCCCGCCAAGGTGAGCCAGCCGCGCTGTGCCGGGGTGTACACGCCAGGGGGCAGCCGAGCTCAGCCCACGGCCCGGCAGCGCGAGAACTCGCGCGAACGCGGAGGAAGAGTGGCGGAGCCTCCGCGGGCGCCAGGGGGCAGACGCGCGGGGTCCCCGTCAGCCTGCTGCGCCGCGCGCCTCGCGCTCTCCGACGCCGCCTGGCAGGCAGGACTTTTCCCAAAGTCATATGTTCCATCCCCCTCTGGGGCGGGCGGGTGTGTGTGTGTGGGGGGGGGGAGGTGTGGAGAATGAGAGGGGGATCGGGGTCCCAGGGATACCCTCCCCGCCGCGGGAGAAGCTTGGCAATCCACACGCCACTCTCTGGCTCTCTCCTTGCCGCTGAAGCAACTCAATCCCCCGGCTCCCCCCACCGCCACCCCCACCCACCCCCACAGGCATACCCGCAGAGGGGAAATTGAGTCACCGAGAAGCGAGTCCAGAGTCACGGGGAGTTGGGGGTAGGGGAAGAGGGAGGGCTCACGCCAGCCCTCGGGGCCTTCCAGATGCTGGGAGGAGGGGAGGGTTCTCCTGGAAAACAAAGGGAGGTGAGGGGGAGGCGGCTGGCTGGGCAGGAGCGGGGGCCAGACACATGGAGAAACAGTGCCCAGGATCAAAGGAAATATGACATTTGCAAAGAATGTGCGCGTCTGCTCGTGCTGCGCCGGGAGGGGCCGGGCATGGACGGCGCGCGGGGGCGCCGGGCCGGGTTTCGGGGTCCCCAGCCCCCGGCCGCCGTCGTCGGGCCACCCTCCCCCGCGGCCTCGAGGTGTGCCTCGCGCCTAGCTCCCCGGGAGTCCCTCCTTCCTTTATTTCCGAGATGAAACTGGAAGGGAAATGTAACCAGAGGAGACCAACCAAAGAGGTGGGAAGAGGAGTGGGGTTAAAAAAAGAGAAAAAAAAAAATCTAAACCAGGCCGCCTCTCCGGCTCCCCCTCAGAACATTCTCCTCTGCCCGCCGCCGGCCTGGCCTCTTGTCCCGCCCACCCCGCGTCGCGGTCCTGGGCTCGGAGCCGGGGCAGCTCCGCGCGTCATCGGGGTCCCCGGGGGCTGGAGGGGTCTCCTGAGCGGGCCCGAGGGAGGACGCAGGGGAGGGGACAGAAGACGGCCGCCTCCGCCGCGGCGCAGCTCGGGCCCGCCGGGCCAGCCCTCCCTCCTCCGGTCCCCCGGCCCTTCGGAGCCTGTTTCTCATTAGAGTAATGGGCGCGGTCCCCGCCCGGCTCCCGAGTGTTTGTAAACGTCTGACCTGAGGGACGTCGTTTAACCCTCCGAGTGCTGGGCTTGACCCCAGTGGGGGCTCGACCACGAGGATTTTAGAGATTGGAAATCACTGCGACCTCTCAGAGGACCTTGAAGCCTACTTGTGTGTGTTTGGGGGTGGTACTTGCAACCGCCCCCCTCCCCAAGCAGTTTCCTTCGGAATCTCAAAGCTCCAGTCTAACACAACCTGGGCCCCTCCATGCCTGTCCTTCCTGGAAGCTCCAGTCCGGGTCTTCCCGCATCCCACTGCCCAGGTGACAGGTGTCCAGCTCTTACACCCGCCGGGTCGCTGGGTTATTGAACGCCTGGTGAACCTGGCCAGGATTTTCTTGAGAGTGGGAGCCAGATACCCCCGAACCTGATTCTTTCCGGGGAGGAGGGAGCTGACTTCCCGTGGCCCTCTGGGTGGCTGCGACAGGCAGTGGCAAAGCCTGGTCATGATATATGCCCATCAGGGGCTGGGCCGGGCGAGGGGCGGTGGGAAGCTACGGACAGTTCCTTCTAGGTTCTGATTACTCTGAGCAAGATCTAGGCCAGCTAAATCTAATTCACCTTTGGACGAGGAGGAGGAGGAAGGATGGGGGAACTGGGGCAGGACAGGTGTTGATTCAGCAGAACAAAGGTTTTCCAGAAGGTCGCCCAGGTTAGGGACTAGGAAGGAATGCCTTCTTTTCAGAGCATCTTGGAGCCACTCTGCAGTCTAGAGCCCACCTGACCTCAGGCTTGGAGGAAAAGGGGAGGAGACGTGGTTCCTCGGTGCTAGATGATGACTACAAAAGTCTTAGGAACTGAAAAGTCTTCTTGGACCATCCACGTTTGGGACTCAGAATGTGGCCCCTTTAAGGCGCTCGGACCCGGAGTTCGGAACCCACGCTGAGGAGGAGGGATTGGGATCCCCGTGGACAGTGATTGTCAGGATTCAGGGCCAATAGGCAACATTACGGTCCTATCACGCTGGAGGGACTGTTTTTCAATTCAGGTTTTTTTTTTTTTAGGGGGAGGGACTGGAGAGCGAAGGAGGAGGGAGGGTGGGGAAGGACGGAGGGGCGCGTGGTTTTCCCATCTCATCCCTGGAGGAGGGGCTGAAGCATCTTGGGCAGCCAATCAGGGACAGGCTGGTGGGGGGGCCCCGCTTTGAAGAGTTTGGGGAAAAAAGTTTGGAAAAGTTTCTATAATAACGAGGGGGCGTCCGGAGGGAGGCGACAGCGGCGGAGGAGGGGGCGTCTCAGAACAAGGGAGGGAGGGAGCCACTCGGGTGAAGAGACAGCAGCTTCCTGAGTTCCCCCCTCCCACCCAGGCCGGGACCCGGGGGCTCTGGTCGGATCCATGGGGGCGGCGAGCTGCGAGGATGAGGAGCTGGAATTTAAGCTGGTGTTCGGGGAGGAGAAGGAGGCCCCCCCGCTGAGCGCGGGGGGGTCGGGGGAAGGTTAGTGCGGGGCTGGGGGGCTCGGGGGTCTTGGGGTCAATGAGAGGAGGGTGGGGGACCCAAGTCTGGGGAAGCTGGGGACACTGAGCCCTGGCTGGGGGATGAGAGAGGCAGAGGTTGAGGGGAGTCTGGGGGGAGCTCACTGGTCTGCGCAAGTGAGGCTGGGGGCCCGGGCTCCACTTTCTCCTTTTTAGGTCGTGGCTGGGGTGGGGGTGGGGGTGCTGTTGGCCGCGCGCCGCCTCCCGGCCAGGCCGACTGTCACTGCGATGGGGAAGCGGGCGGGCACGGAGGCTCCAAGAGCCCGGAGCTGTGCGAGGGAAGGGGAGGTCGGGCTGTGAAACTTGTCCCGTGCGGGCCCGGCCGACCGGACGCCGGGGGTCCGGGGCACTCGCGGGCCGCGCCGGGGCGCCCCTCCCCCTCGCCGTCTGGCCGCAATGAGAGGCAGATGGCGGGGACCGAGCCGGGGGCGGCGGCCGCCGTTCGCACGGAATCCGCGCTGCCCACTTTCACCCCCCTTCCTCTCCGGCTGGGCCCGGCACGCACCAGCCCCCTTGGCCCCAGACTGGGGGGTAGGGTGGGGGAAGCGAAGGAGGAGCCACCTTCCCGCGTCACCGCAGCGCTGGCGGCCCCCCTCCCTTGGTCACGGTTGCGATGGCAACTGGGGCTCCTGCCAGCCCCGTTTGGGGGTTTGGGAACCGCTGCTAATTGGGTTCATGTGTGAGTCGCCCCCAGCCCAGCCCAGCGCCTTGCTAAACACGCCTCTAAGGCCTAGCGGCGGCTCCCTCTCCAACCCACCTCCCTCACCTAAAGACCGACGCGGGGCCTGTACCGGGAGCTGAGGCCACCGGCCACGAGTGCAAGGCGTTGCGGATGGGCCAGGGACCGGAGCTCCTGCATCCGCCCTTTCACTTTTGGCTCTAAGACCCGTTGCTTGCAGGGGGTGAGAGGGCGTCACAGCAGAACTTGCATCCCCAAGCACTCTGAAGACGTCTAACCAGCGTATCTCTCGCGCTCTCCCCCCACCCCCGCATCCCCAATTTGACAGAACCTGACCCAGAGGATGCCTCGCCATGCTGTCGTTTGGCCCTGGGGGAGCCGCCTCCCTACGGCGCTGCCCCTATTGGCATCCCTCGGCCTCCGCCCCCTCGGCCCGGCATGCACTCCCCTCCGCCGCGCCCGGCCCCGTCACCTGGCACCTGGGAGAGCCAGCCCGCTAGGTCGGTGAGGCTCGGGGGGCCGGGCTCGGGGGCCGGGGGTGCGGGGGGCGGCCGAGTGCTGGAGTGTCCAAGCATCCGCATCACCTCCATCTCCCCCACGCCCGACCCGCCGGCCCCGTTGGAGGACAACCCCGACGCCTGGGGAGACGGCTCCCCCAGGGATTACCCGCCCCCCGACGGCTTTGGGGGCTACCGAGAGGCTGGGGCCCAGGGCAGCGGTGCCTTCTTCAGCCCGAGTCCCGGCAGCAGCAGCTTGTCGTCGTGGAGTTTCTTCTCCGACGCCTCTGATGAGGCGGCCCTTTACGCGGCCTGCGACGAAGTGGAGTCTGAGCTTAACGAGGCGGCCTCACGCTTCGGCCTGGGCTCTCCGCTGCCTTCACCTCGGGCCTCCCCTAGGCCCTGGACCCCCGAGGATCCCTGGAGCCTGTATGGCCCCAGCCCTGGAGGTCGCGGGCCGGAGGACAGCTGGCTACTGCTCAGCGCTCCGGGGCCCACCCCAACCTCACCACGGCCTGCCTCCCCCTGTGGCAAGCGGCGCTATTCCAGCTCTGGCACCCCATCTTCAGCATCCCCGGCTCTGTCCCGCCGGGGCAGCTTGGGGGAGGAGGGCCCTGAGCCAGCTCCGCCACCCCCTTTGCCTGTGGCCCGAGACCCTGGCTCCCCTGGTCCCTTTGACTACATGGGGGCCCCGCCAGCTGAGAGCATTCCGCAGAAGACAAGGCGGACTTCCAGCGAGCAGGCGGTGGCTCTGCCTCGGCCTGAGGAGTCAGCTGCGTGCAACGGGAAGCTGCCATCTGGAGCAGAGGAGGCCGTGGCTACCCCTGGGGGTTCCCGGAAGGAGGTAGCTGGCATGGACTACTTGGCGGTGCCCTCCCCACTGGCATGGTCCAAGGCCCGAATTGGGGGACACAGCCCCATCTTCAGGTGAGGACTGTGCACCTGCCACCGCCGGCTCTCTCCAATCATTCTACAGGGGAACAAGGAGAGGAACAAGAGATGGGTCTGAAGAAAGATCTAAAAATTTCCAAAGATAGTAAGCCTTTCCACCCACGTTTTAAATGAGAATAAATGCACCCATTCTTGCTAAGGGACATCATAGCTCCATAGAAACCAATTAGAGAAAATCTACCCTATCCCATTCTGTTTTATGGGACCTGGTCAGGCAAGGAGGTCTCTCTAGGGTGCCCCCTCCCAGCCGTGGGCTGGCCCATGGCTGCTTGGGGGCATGTGGGCTGTGTGTGTCTACCTTCTGCTCCAGTCTTTTCATAGGTCCTGCTCTGTTACAAGAAGTTCCTCTTTCTTAAACTCTACAGCCTCTACTAGTAAGGGAGTTTAAGAAAGAGGAACTGCTGATTTGAATAAACTAGCATATATCTTGTAGGTCCAAGAATTGGTCCTAAAACTTGGCAGTTCTTCCACCCTTGAATCTTGAGATGTCAGACTCTATCCAGAGAGACATGAGTAGGGGAAGAAGCTGTGTAACACTGGTGCCCTGGGCTTCCCTGGGCAGATATGGGCATTGAAGGATGATTTAGCAGCACCTGCCCTCCCCCCAGCCTCTGCCATGAGATACAACACTCCCCATCATTGTGACAGCCAAAGATGTCCCCAGGCTGTCACAGATCACCAAGGGGAACACTACCAGGAGAGATCCGCTGGCTTAGGGTACCCGTGAACATAACACAGAGCCACCCCATTAGAAACCCCTCAGCTCCCTGGAAATGTTCAGCTTCCACTAGTGCCTGGGAGCCGAATGGGCCATCCTCAGTTGGACCTGTGGCTGCTGGCCTAGTATCTGTAGAACAAAGGGGTTCATGCCTGAAACCCTTTATGGGCTAAAATGATACTTGTTTATAGTTCTCCTCAGTGTCTAGGGGTTAGGAGGGGCTTGGGGTTCCTTTGCACCCAGGCAAAAGCTCCCTCCATCCTGGCCTGTGCTCAGGGCTGAGACAAAAGGGAGCCCCAGGCCTGCCGTCCTCTCCCATAGCTCATGTCAAGGGACTCTGCCCCCACCTGCCATTGCTCTTGGTGCTAGCATTTCTTTCCTCTTTCACACACACCCTCTGCTTCCTCCCAGAGTGCAGTCACGCAGTCCCTGCCACCTGGGGTCTGAGGCTGGGATGGGGTCAGTGTTCTTTTCTCCCCTCCCCTAGGACCTCTGCACTGCCCCCTCTGGACTGGCCCCTACCCAGCCAATATGAGCAGCTGGAGCTGAGGATCGAGGTGCAGCCCAGAGCCCACCACCGGGCCCATTATGAAACAGAGGGCAGTCGTGGAGCTGTCAAAGCAGCCCCAGGTGGCCACCCTGTGGTCAAGGTAAGGGGCCAGGACCAGGAGCCAGCCTGATATCCATTTCCCCATCCCAGCTCCCTGTGGGGCTACTGTAGCTGAGTAGCCCCATGGCACTGCCCTTTCCCACACTCCCTTTCAGCGTTGACCCTTGCAGGCAGACAGCCTGGGGGAGGAGGGTGCCCTTCCAGCACCCGGATATACTTGCTGCTCCTCTGTGCTTTCCACCCCCACTCGACTCATCCCCTGAGACTGCAGCCTCCTGTGGGCTCTGGGAAATGATGGCCTGCCAGTTGTGGGGGAGGGGTCAGGCTGAAGCCAGAGGTCACTGGGAGTCAGGCTTTCTCTGTATTGAGTTGGGCCTGTCTCTTGGAAGCTTCTCTCCCCTCTGCCCAGCCCAGTTTGGGCCTTATTCCAAGAACAACAGTGAGCTCCAGGCCACATGTTCTCCACGACTGGTGGACTGGTGCCTGATTCCCCCAGAGAATCCCTCCCAGGATGTCCTTTATCTTTCACCATCCCCCTTCCTCTCCTCCATGGGTGGACTGAAAATCCAGGAAAGGATAAAGGGGAAATTGGTAGGGATTTCAACTCAGTGGCCCCTTTCCCTCCATCTGCCAGCTCCTAGGCTACAGCGAGAAGCCCCTGACACTACAGATGTTCATTGGCACAGCAGATGAAAGGAACCTGCGGCCTCATGCCTTCTATCAGGTGCACCGCATCACGGGCAAGATGGTGGCCACAGCCAGCTATGAGGCTGTCGTCAGTGGTACCAAGGTGCTGGAGATGACGCTGCTCCCCGAGAACAATATGGCAGCCAAGTGAGTACCACCCACTCAGCTCCTCTCATCCTCAGGCTGCCCCACTGAGCCCACACTGGACACACGACTTCCTCTTCCCACTGGAGTTGGTCAGATGTCATCCCCAGGAGCCGGGATCTGGGAGGGAGAGCGGGAGTTTTGTTCTAGGTGGATATGCTCCCCTCTGGGCCAAGCTGGGAGGGTTTGCCGTCTGCCTTTGCCTTTAGCATCGACTGTGCTGGGATCTTGAAGCTGCGGAATTCAGACATTGAGTTACGGAAGGGTGAGACAGACATCGGGCGCAAAAACACCCGAGTACGGCTGGTGTTCCGGGTACACGTGCCTCAGGGCGGCGGGAAAGTGGTCTCCGTGCAGGCAGCATCAGTGCCCATCGAGTGCTGTGAGCAAAAAGACCCCACATCACCCCTCTGTCTCTTGTGGCCTGCTTTGTGTGTGTGTCTGGCTTGTCTGCCTGTCTCCTTCGCGTGGTGTCCTGTGCCCTGTTGGTCCCAGTAGCCCACAGGGGACTCAGTCCTTTGTTATACTGTGGTTGGGGGAGTGCAGGGTCTGCTGTTCTAGTGGTATCTGTGTCTGTCAGACTCTGACTTTGACCCTGTACCCTACCAACCCCTGGGGTGGCCCCTGTGCACTTGCTGGGGAAACTCCATGTCCTGCTGCATTGTACCCCTCTATGCCCCATACGACTCCAGGGATCCTGTTGATTGACCTCTATGTCCACTGCTGAAGAGGGTTACCCCAGGGGCCTGTGGCAGTTGTCTCACAAGGGCAGGGAGAGAGGCTCCCTCCACACCCAGTCCCCAGCCAGGCCTTCTCTATATGGCCCTGCAGCCCAGCGCTCAGCCCAGGAACTGCCCCAGGTGGAGGCCTACAGTCCTAGTGCCTGCTCCGTGAGAGGAGGTGAGGAGCTCGTACTGACTGGCTCCAACTTCCTGCCAGACTCCAAGGTGGTGTTCATTGAGAGGGGCCCAGGTGAGTGCCTGCCAGGGAGGGACGGAAGGTCGCAATGCCTTGGGACCAGCCCAGGAAAGACCTGTGGCACTGCTGTCACTAGTCCAGCCAACTGAGCCCCTGTCTCTTTCTTGGTGACCCTTCCAATGGGGTGACACATGACAGCAAGCTGAAACATGGGGCCTGCTCAGCAGGTGTGAGAAATGCCCATTGTGTTTATCAGAGAGCAGTCAGCTTTGAGTTATTTTAACCCCTGTGTTGGTAGGGTATTTAAGGAGAGGGGACAAAGGTGGCTTCTACCCTTAAAGTTCCCCCAAGGCCCCTTGCATTATAGCTACAAGAACTCACAAGATATTCCAAGATGGAATTTTGCAGGCGGAGAAAGGGAGTGGGGGCCGGCTATCCAGGCAAAGCCACTAGCCAGAGAGGCTTCTGTCCTTCTCTAGCCTTGCTCCCAGAAAGACCCAGCTCCTGGTCCCACAGTTAGCAGCCCGGGCCACAGCAGAGCATCTCCAGAGGGTGATGAGTCACAGGAGCCACATGCCTTCCCTCCATGCTGCGACCTTTTCCCACCATGACCCCCACCATCCTACCCATGGGGTTGCACGGAAAGGGATGTTCGGCATTGGGTGGAAGGGTTTCAGAGCTGCTTCTAAGTCACTGACTGCCCCTGGTTCCTGGGCTGGCCCTGCCAATTTCCCTCCATCTCGGCTTGTTTTCCTGCGGCTTGGGAAGCAGGTTAAACTCTGCCTTTTCCATTCTATCAAGTGAACTTGCCACAGGCGTCTCTGCATAGCAGACCTTCAGGGGACCTTCTGAATTTGGCCCAGGGTTTGGCGGGAGTGAGAAGGACTGGGACAGAGGGCAGGGGCCTTGGAGTTGGGCTGGAGCCCTCTGACCCCTACCCACAGATGGAAAGCTGCAATGGGAGGAGGAGGCCACCGTGAACCGGCTGCAGAGCAATGAGGTACCAGGGCCACTTGGGTGGATGTCCTGGGAAGGGGGACGGGGAGATGCAGAGAAGTCTCAGCTGGGACCCCTTGCCCATCAGAGTGCACCCCAGATCTACTTCCTTTTCTACAGTGGCCACTGTGGATGCAGGTTCATTGCTAAGAAATGAACTTGGCTCCTTAGCAAATGGGAGAAGAGAGGAGGAAAGCTGGGAAGAGCCTTACCCTCTGCTCTTCCACAGCTGACCTTGACCCTGACCGTCCCAGAGTACAGCAACAAGCGGGTGTCCCGGCCAGTCCAGGTCTACTTCTACGTCTCCAATGGGAGAAGGAAGCGCAGCCCTACACAGAGCTTCAAGTTCCTGCCCGGTACATTCTGGCACAGCCCATGTGGCGGACTGGCAGGCATTGTGGAGAGCTGAGCAAGAGCAAGTGGGATGCATGAAACCTTGGTGGGGGTGGGAGGCTAGCAAAGGAGCTGCATAGGTGTGCATAGGTGGTTGGAAGGTGTGACTTGCAAAGATGGCCAGACCTCTCACTGTGTGTCCTGCCTCCCTGCTCACAGTGATCTTCAAGGAGGAGCCCCTGCCAGATGCGTCTCTCCGAGGATTCCCTTCTGCACCGGGCCCCCCCTTTGGCACTGACATGGACTTCTCACCTCCCAGGCCCCCCTACCCCTCCTATTCCCACGAAGACCCTGCCTATGAAACTCCTTACGTGTCGGAAGGCTTTGGCTATGGCACGCCCCCTCTGTATCCCCAGACGGGGCCCCCACCATCCTACAGACCAGGTCTGCGGATGTTCCCTGAGACTGCGGGTACCACAGGCTGTGCCCGTCCCCCAACAGTCTCCTTCCTTCCCCGTCCCTTCCCCAGTGACCCGTATGGAGGGCGCGGCTCCTCTTTCTCCCTGGGTCTTCCATTCCCTTCTGTAGCCCCTTTTCGACCTCCACTACCTTCCTCCCCACCACTTGAAGGCCCCTTCCCTCCTCAAAGTGGTGTCCATCCCCCACCTGCTGAGGGGTACGATGAGGTAGGGCCAGGCTATGGGCCTGGGGAGGGGGCTCCGGAGCAGGACAAATCCAGGGGTGGCTACAGCAGCGGCTTCCGAGACAGTGCCCCTGTCCAGGGCATCACGCTGGAGGAAGGTGGGTGTGGGCCTGGGGATAGCACGCATGTGTGTGTGTGCATGTGAGAGGTGGCTCTGCATGTTTGCTGAGGGCTGGAGCTTGGCTGCCCAGAGATTCCGCAGCCACAGGCACAATCCTTCCTGTCCCAGGAAGCAAGAGCTCAGTGTGTGTAGCCACGTGAGACCTTTATTCCAAAGGGCACCTTTTTCTTGCCTCTGCCCTCTATTCCACAGCCTAAGGTCATCCCAGTCAGCTCTCTCAAGCTGCAGGCTCGGGCGCACAGTTTCCCAGAAGGGTGGTGTCGTGCTGAGGTCCCACTCGAGTGTTCTTTCCCTTGTTCCAGCCTTCCCCTAAACTTGGTCGCTGAGCTCTTGAGAGTTGGGGCCTTCCGGCTCTGCCTCTCCTTTCTCTCTCTGGCCCCACCCACCTGTGAAAGACACAGATTACCTTGACCTTGGAGGCCAAGCCAGCAGGAGTGGGCTGGGCCAGGGGCGTGGGAGCTCACAGGAATGGAATGAGGGCAGGATTCGAATAGGAGAGCAGGTGGCAAAGTGAAGCTGGCGGGGGCGGGGGGCTTTGTAAACTGAGGCCTGTCAGCAATGGATTGGGGGGGTCTCTGGAAAAGGATGGAGCCACTCCCTAGCCAGATCTCTCACCTGCGCCTCCTTTTCAGTGAGTGAGATCATTGGCCGAGACCTGAGTGGCTTCCCTGCGCCTCCTGGAGACGAACCTCCTGCCTGAAATATCGTTTGGCAACCTCGGCCCCCGACTCAGCCCGGCCCGGGTTGGGCCCTGCCACCGGGCTCGGCTCCGCCCACGGCTCGGCCCCGCCCTCTTTCCCTCTGTCCTGGAGCAGCGGCTCCGGAAGTCTGGACCACGGATCTCCACTGGCTCCTCTTTCCCCAGCTTCTGCCTGTTCCCCAGTCTCCCTTTCCTACCCCCGGTTGAGGTGCGACTCGCCTCCAGACCTGTGCTGTCTCAAAGGGCTGGTGGCGTGGAGGAGGGTGGAGACCGGCTGGGTGTCAGGAACGCCTGGGTTGAACACAGGGTCCAGGCTGTGCAGGCGTTGGTGCTGGGAGGCAAGGGCAGACTGGTGGGTAATAAAATGCTCTGTCCAGTGCTTTGGGCTCCAGAGCTCTTTGGAAGGGGGCAGGGACCAGGGAGAGTGGGTAGCTTGTAGCCGGAGACGAGGTTGTTGTGCTTCTGCTGGAGTGTCTGGGGCTGAGGCTGGGGCGGTGCGGGAGGGGCTCTGGAGGTCAGGACCTCGGTAGGCTTTGAGGGGTGGGGGGGAGAGGCGGGCAGCGTCGAAGCCTTGTGGAACTTTGGGATGAAGCCAAGCAATGTTTTGTCTCGTGATCTTTGTCGCTCCCTTCCCTACCCTCAACATTACCTGTATGATTGTGACTCATAGCCAAGGTGAGATAACCCTGTGTAGTCACTCTTCTTCCCTTACAAAGAGAAATGTCCAGGAGAGGGGCTTGCCCAGGGGCACAGGATTAACCATCAGCAGGCTGGGGCTGTGTCCCTGAGCTGCTGCCTCCTAAATACCCTCAGACATCATGACCCAGGAGGCCTGGGATCCTGCAATGAGGGTAGATCTGGCCCACCATCGCGGATGATGAAAATGTTTTGGAAAGATCTGTGTTTCAGAGGGAAGCCAGGTGGCCTCTCCAGCAACACCGCCAGCCACCTGCCCGGAGACTGGGCATTGTATGATTTCCTGGTGTGCACGTGTCCTGTGCTGGCCTTCTGAAGGGATGGTGCACCCATCACCACTGACACCCGACCCCCACCCACCCCAGCTCAGCTGGAGTCTGCAGCATGTGGCCACAGAGTACCACTGGCTTGAGTTGGCCACACCCGAAAGACATTCAGTGAGTCAAGTGTGAAGAAAATGCCTCCATCTGGGCTGTGCCCAGCTGGTTTGCCTGGCCCTGGTGGGTACCCTGGAATGCTGAAGCATTCCTGGGTATTGGATTGGAGGATGAGCCCCGTACACTTCTGTAAGCCAAGTTACCAGCTCCTTGGGTTTTGGCTACTTAAAGATAGATTCCTCAAGCCCCTACCCCAGAGTCAGAATTTTTTTTTTTTTTTCCCCTGGGTGCCTGGTCAGAAGGCACCCTGCACATCTGACTTATTCAGCTGTAACCCTAACCCTAACCCAAGGTCTGTGGGTATGTGTATGTGTGGATGAAAAACTGTGGTGAGAGAGATTCAACTACCCTCAAGGTAGACTTTTTTTTTTTTTAAGATTTATTTAATTTTATCGTAAAGTCAGATATGTAGAGAGGAGGAGAGGCAGAGAGGAAGATCTTTCGTCTGATGATTTACTCCCCAAGTGGCCACAATGGCCAGAGCTGCACTGATCAGAAGCCAGGAGCCTGGAGCCTCTTCCAGGTCTCCCTGGTGGGTGCAGGGTCCCAAGGCTTTGGGCCATCCTTGTTACTTTCCCAGGCCACAAGCAGGGAGCTGGATGGGAACGGAGCTGCCAGGATGAGAACCAGCACCCATATGGGATCCTAGCGTGTACAAGGCAAGGACTTTAGCCGCTAGACTACTGCACCGGGCACTTGACTTTTATTTTTAGAGATTTATTTTATTTACTTGAAAGACTGAATTTCAGAGAGTGGGAGAGGCAGAATGAAAGATTTTCCATCTGGTAGTTCACTCTCCAAATGGCTGCAATGGCTAGAGCTAGGCTGGTCCAAAACCAGGAGTTGGGAACTTCTTCTGAGTCTCTCACATGGGTGAAGAGGCCCAAAGATTTGGGCCATCCTCTGCTGCTTTTCCAGGCACATTAGCAGGAAGCTGGACTAGAAGTAGAGCAGCTAGAACTTGAACTGGCACCCATATGGAGGATGTTGGCATCACAAGAGACAACTTTACCCACTGCACCACAACATTGGCCTCAGACTGCACGTTATTCATGTTGTGCTGGGACACAGCCCTTTGCTCATTGTCAAGATTTATTGAGTAACTGGTACATGTCAGCCAGTGAGTCCTGGACAACTTCCTAGCATCATGGGGCAAGAATAAGTAAACAACTCATTCCAATTCAACTTGGAAAATATTTCTTGAACAGATAGTTGATCAGACCTTAGGGAGGCATTTTTTTTTTTAAGATTTATTTATTTTTATTGGAAAGGCGGATTTACAGAGAGAAGGTGAGACAGAAAGCTCTTCCATCAGCTGGTTCACTTCCCATATGGCCACAATGACTGGAGCTAAGCTAATCCAGGAGCTTCTTCCAGGTCTCTCACCTAGGGGCTGAGTCCCAAGGCTTTGGATCATCTTCTACTGCTTTCCCAGGCCACAAGCAGGGAGCTGGATGGGAAGTAGAGTAGTCAGGACTCGAACCAGCACCCAAAGGGGATCCCAGTGCATGCAAAGTGAGGATTTAACCACTAGGCTATCACACAGGTTCTCCCTCTCTTTTTTTTTCCTCGTTTGCTTTAAATACATGTTCCTATGCAACCCTGACTTAGTTATAATCTTGGGAGGCAGGGCTAGAGTATCTGCATTTTTTAAATTTAGGTTTTATTCTTATCACATTCTTTAAAATTTTTTAATTTATTTGAAAGAGAGAGATCTTCTAGCTGTTCGCTCACTGCCCAACAGCTGGACTGAGCACAAGGAAACCAGGAGTACAGAAGAGCAGGTCTAAGAGCAGGTCTCCCATGCAGGAGGCAGAGACCCAAGTACTTGAACCACCACCTGTTGCTTCCCAGGGTGCATATGAACAGTGAAGCCTGGACTAGAACCCAGGACTCAGGACCCTGATGTGGGATGGGGGTTTCCCAATCTGCAGTTTAACCACTATACCTAACACCTACTCCCTTATCTGCATTCTGAAGATTCCTTAGTCTGGGAAAGTTTAAGAACTGGAATCATCTGCCAAGTAAGTGTCACTCCTCTCTAGTCCAGATTCCAGAAGAGTTCTGGTGCCCCTTCTCTGAATCGTGTGTGGGCTGGGCAGGCCGGAGGCTCCACCTCCGGGACTAGTCAGCTGAGGGGAGGGGAAGGATGCATACATTCCTCACCGAGTGACGCACCTCTCCTCTGACAGGCTTTCTTAGCTGTTCAGATCATCTGATCACTGTCTGGTCTTGGTTGCAGCCTGGAGCCCAGCTGCAGAGGCAGCTGTCATTAGAACTACTTCTCTGGTTGCAGTCATGGTTACCCAGAGTAGGCTCGCAATTGGGTTCTGAGATTTGCTTGGAGCAAGTTCTGTGATGCTCTGAGCTCACTGCTGGCCTTTCCAAATAGTCATGGAGAAGAAGGTTGCATGGAATGGGTATCACATACTTCAGAGAGGGTGGATACAAAGGGCAAATGGGATTTTGATGGCTTTTCTGGGAGCCAGTTTTAGCAACCTCTTAGCAAAGTCTCCACAAAGCCCTTCAGGGTTCCTGTTTTGTGCCAAGTCTTGTGTTAAGCAGTGAGGGATGTGGACAGCATCACTGGGGCCTTGGTTGGGAGGAGTGGATGATGCTGCCACTAGTGGAGGAGAGCTTCCTGCCTGCATGTTGGATTGAGAATGTTTTGATCTGAGCACTGGAAGTGATATGTCACTAGGGAAATGTTGGGATCTGAGCCCAAGGAGGAGGGGTCCAAGAACATGTCATAGCAGCAGGTGATTTTGGTACAGATTATAAAGGAAAACTATTTCCTATGTAAAAAGATAGCAATGAGAGAGTGGGTTGTACCTGCCAGTAAAGTGTACGATGTCAAGGCCAGACAGGTGGGGAGGAACCAGAAGTGGTCTAACAGGGTGTGCTAAGAAGTCTGAGTTAATCACTCATTTGTTAGAGGACAAATGGAGGGTGTGTGATTGAAGAATGAGAAGCTATGTAAAGAGGTAGCAGGGAGACCACAAAGTAGGGTCTTAACAGGAGTTCAGATCAGAGACGGTGGGACTCTACTCACAGCTGAGCACAGCAGGCTGAGCCAAGAAGAGACTCAGAGGAGAGCAAAGGTCTCAGCTCAACCAACCAACATCTACCCACTTCCTGCCATGAGCTAACTCTGGATGATCACCAGGAGAACAAGCAGAGGATGAGACAAGCTCGGCAGCAGATGCTTATGGACCATGTACAACAGTGCTGGAGTCCTATGGGTTTTAGGCGTTCAGAGAAGAAACACAGACCATCTCCTCTCTCTAAAAGTTTATCCACAGGGCCCGGTGCGATGACCTAATGGCTAAAGTCGTTGCCTTGGACATGCCAGGATCCTACATGGGTGCTGGTTCTAATCCTGGCAGCTCCACTTCCCATCCAGCTCCCTGCTTGTGGCCTGGGAAAGCAGTCGAAGCAAAGTCAGATATACAGAGAGGAGGAGAGGCAAAGAGGAAGATCTTCTATCCGATGATTCACTCCTGAAGCAGTTACAACAGCTGGTGCTGCGCCGATCCGAAGCCAGGAGTGCTGGGGTCCAGCTCCAGCTGAGTTCAGAACTCGAGAAGGGTGCGTGGATGCGGTGCAAAGAGAGAGAGACAGACCACTAGGATTTCGTGATCATTGTGGACAATGCAATAAAGCTATCCGCTTTATTTATACAGAACCAGTCGAACTCTGGCGCAGACTTTTATGTCATGGTCAAGTGGGTGTTTCTAAGGATAATTCTGCAGTTTATTTCACCTAGAGCAGGATGTTATCCATCCTGGCACTGTGGTTAGGAAGTTCTCAATAGACGGCACATATCAATCAGTAACATATTCCTACTACAATCCTCATTCTACAGCTT